ACACCTCCAAGGTCATGTGGCCGACATGACTGCATGGAGAGCTGTTACCTTCCTGCCGGAGTGGTACCTATTGATCTACTCACATTTTCATGTTTTCGAACTGCTAGATTGGCAGAAGCTGGGACTGACCGAGCTTCCATCCAATAATCTAGCTTTGCAGCTCAAAAGACAGTTGCATCTGTCAAGTAGGAAATTTAAGTAAAAGTTTTCCTCTGACATTAAGTCCAGTCGTGTCCAACTCTGAGGTGTGGTGCTCATCTCCATTTCTAAGTCGAAGAGCCAGCGTTGTCCGTAGACACCTCCAAGGTCATGTGGCCGACATGACTGCATGGAGAGCTGTTACCTTCCTGCCGGAGAGGTACCTATTGATCTACTCACATTTGCATGTTTTCAAACTGCTAGATTGGCAGAAGCTGGGGCTGACAGCGGAAGCTCACGCCGCTCCCCGGATTCGAACCTGTGACCTTTCGGTTGACAAGTTCAGCAGCTCAGCACTTTAACCCACTGTGCCACCGGGGGCTCCTTAAGTAGGAGGGAGGGTAATTTAACTAATTTACGACGCCATAAAACCTTCCAGCAGCGTGCAGAAGAATGAGGAAGTACTCCATCAAAGGACAGTGAAGCAGCAGCTCCCCCTGTGGCCGAAATGGAGCATAACCTCATGAAGCCGAAAAGCGGGGATGTTAAATTGCCTCTGCGTCTGTCTATATATGTTGCATGTCTAATTGGCATTGAATGTTTGCCATGTATATGTGCATTGTAATCCGCCCTGAGTCCCCTGCGGGGCGAGAAGGGCGGAATATAAATAATAATAAATAGATAAATCTAAATATATAAACATCCTTGAAGTAACTTACAGGGTTCTCTGAGAAGCATTCTGAGCGGGGTCATTGCAAACGTCGGTTGCGCTTTCCCTGGACGACCGATCACAGCATTTCTTCTTCTCCGATTCCAAGGGTGTCATTTAGGAAGTGGATCGTTTCATCCGGATATAGGACTCATTATAGATGGAAAATCAGCCAAGTAAACCAGAGAGCTAGAACGCTAACAATTAGATATACATTGGTGACAAGGAGGCACGTCCAGACTTCGCCCGACTTAGAGTAAACCCATTTATTCCACAAAAATATTGATATTTCACCAGGTTTCAGGCCAACATATACGATTTACTTGTGTGTCTATTCAAAGCACAATCAAGGTACGATTCAACTCAACTAAAATACATTCAACTGGAAGCATTGAATGTGATAGAGATTGATTCTAGGGGTCATCGGAAAGAATAGAGCATGGGCTTTGGCTGTTCCTTTCGTCTTTAATCCAAGTCACTATCAAAGTATCTATAACAGATGGCCATCCAGCCGTGATGATGATGACGAAACAGAATCCCACACTACAGTATGAGCCGTACGTGAATGGATTCAGTATGTAGCTATTCCTAAAAACACAAAAATCGCAGCTGCAGGAGGAAATTGGGTTCACTGAATGCAAAGAGAAACATTTAACCCTTGGAGTTGCTGTGAGTTTTCCAGGCTGTCTCGTCATGTCCCAGAAGCATTCTCTCCTGATGTTTCGCCCACATCTGTGGCAGGCATCCTCAGAGGTTGTGAGGTCTGTTGGAAACTATGCAAGTGGGGTTTATATATCTGCGGAATAATGTGCAGGGTGGGAAAGAGAACTCTTGTATGTTGGAGGCAAGTGTGAATGTTGCAACTGGCCAGCTTGATTAGCATTGAATAGCCTTGCAGCTTCAAAGCCTGGCCCTCTTCCTGCCTGGGGGAATGTTTGGTTGGGAGTGTAAGCTGGCCTTGATTGTTTCCTGTCTGGAATTCCCATTTTTTAAGTGTTGCTATTTATATACTGTCCTGATTTTAGAGTTTTTGATGCCTTTTTCATTTATTGGGAACTAGCTGTACCCGCCACGCGTTGCTGTGGTCAACCTTCGCTCCCTCTTTCTCTTCTTTTTTTCTCCTTTTCTTCCTTCCTTCCTTCCTTCCTTCCTTCCTTCCTTCCCTCCCTTTTCTTTCTTTCTTTCCTTCCTCCCTCCCTCCCTTCCTTCTTTCCTTCCTTCCTTCCTTCCTTCCTTCCTTTCCTCCCTTCCTTCCCTCCCTCTTTCCTTCCTTCCTTCCTTCCTTCCTTCCTTCCTTCCTTCCTTCCTTCCTTCCTTCCTTCCTTCTCTTTTTCCCTTCCTTCTCCCCCAACTTTTTCCCCCTTCCTCTTTCTCCTTTTTCTTCCTTCTCTACCTATTCTTGGACTGCAACTCCCAGCAGTCCTCCTGATCTATCTATCTATCTATCTATCTATCTATCTATCTATCTATCTATCTATCTATCTATCTATCTATCCACCTACCTACCTACCTACCTACCTACCTACCTATCTCTATCTAATCTCTCTATCTGGAAGATTGGTGGGAGTTGCAGTCCAGGAATAAGAAATTGGAAATATGCAGGGATTGGGATGCTCTCAAAGAAATCCAAGGAGAAGAAAGCTTGGCAGCTTGGAAGCAGTGCATTTGGATCATCCTCCTCTCCTAAAGGGCCTGGTCTAAGGGATGCTGGGCGCTGTAGTCCGGAAGAGAGTGTGGATATGCTATTGTGTGTTTTGTTTGCCAGGGGAGATGTTTTTGTGCATGTGCTGTAGTGTCTTTTTTGCTTTTTCAGCTTTTAAGTCCCTTATATTGTGTTCTTCATTGTTTTTATGAGCAATGGTCACTCGTTGGTCTGATAGGTGCATTGTGTCCAAATTTGGTGCCAATTCACCCAGTGGTTTTTGAGTTATGTTAATCCCACAAACGAACATTTCATTTTTATTTATATAGATGGAGAGAGAGTTGGGGAGCGCTCCTTTAATTGAAGGGGAAATGCTAGAGGAAAAGGAGGGTTTGGCATAAGAGTGTCGGATAAGCGAAGGTTGGATAAGCGAGACTCTACTGTACAGTAATAAATTATTAATATGCCTGGAAATTAAGTAATTGGATCCATCTAACAGATTAGTTCCAGAAACGTGATGGTACTAACTACTCAGATTACTATAAACAGCAATATGATCGCGTCTTGACTGACCAAAATCAACCCCTGCTTGTGAGCCAGCTGAAAATGAAGGGCAGGAGAACATCAACAACTCTTGTGTGACTGACTTGTTAGTCCATTTGGTCCATGCAACTCCTGATTTCTATTTGATGAAGGATTTGGCTCAAGAGTCAAATGGAAAGGCAATTGTCCAGCCTTCAGTAATCCAGGCCAAATCTCCATCTTTGGACAAAGCTAAGGAAGGGGAAGATGTTTTGGTATATTGCCGCACCGAAGAGTTTTGTGATATCTAAGAGGATGTGATATCTAAGAGGAACAAGCTGAGGATCAATCCCAACAAGACAGAGGTCCTCTTGGTAGATCACAAACCAGATCGGGGTATAGGGTGGCAACCTGTGCTGGACAGGGTTGCATCCCCCCCCCCCCGAAGCCACAGGTCCGCAGTTTGGGTGTCCTCCTGGACTCATCACTTACGCTTGAAGCTCAGGCGTCGGCGGTGGCCTGGAGGGCTTTTGCACAATTGAGACTCATGCGGCAACTGCGACCGTACCTTGTGAAGGTGGATCTGGCCAGGGTGGTCACCTCCAGATTGGACTACTGTAATTCACTCTACGTGGGGCTACCCTTGAAAACAGCCCAGAAATTCCAACTGGTTCAACGAGCAGCAGCCAGGTTGTTAACTGGAGCTCCTTACAGGGAGCGGTCAACACTCCTGTTTAAGGAGCTCCATTGGTTGCCGTTCATTTACCGGTCCCAATTCAAGGTGCAGGTGCTTACCTACAAAGCCCTAAACGATTTGGGACCCACCTACCCGAATGACCGCATCTCTGTGTTTGAACCCACACGATCTCTTCAATAATCTGGAGAGGCCCTACTCACGCTCCCGCCAGCATCGCAAGCGCGATTGGTGGAGGCGAGGGAGAGAGCCTTCTCGGTGGTGGCCCCTCGACTCTGGAACTCACTCCCCAGGGACATTAGGCAAGCCCCAACTCTGGCAGTCTTTAGGAGAAGCCTGAAAACGTGGCTGTTTCAGTGTGCCTTCCCAGAATAAGGAAACTCCCAGCAATATGTCCTTAAACGCACTTTAATAATGATTTAAGATTGTCTGCACATTTCTTCCCTCGCCAAAACCTCTATCCCAATTACATGTCACCTGTTCATGACCAGCATTATTTTTACCATTTTAATTATTACATTTGGCCCAGCCATAGGTATTTAAATGTGTCATGTTAATGTTAATGTTTTTTGCTTATGAGCTTTATGTATTGTTTTTGTATTATTGCTGTTATTGTTGTATTGTTGTATTGTGGGCTTGGCCTCATGTAAGCCGCACCGAATCCCTCGGGAGATGGTAGCGGGGTACAAATAAATTATTATTATTATTATTATTATTATTATTATTATTATTATTATTATTATGTATAGGTCATAAACTTTTCCGGATTGCAGCCTATGAGATGCTCCACGCATTGGGGGAAGCAGACCCCATTCGCAAAAACCTTTGTTGACAAACATAAAGGGTGTGTGACTCCACATATGAATAACATTGTCCCACATCATCCAACCCCCAAAGCAACAATCCCCATACTCTCCAACCAGAAGTGTTGTTGTTCAGGCAAGGGATGATGGGAAGTTGTCTTCCGAAGCGCCATCCAGCTTAAGCCTGACTGTCCTACATCCAGGTTGGCCAAACCTTGCTCTCCATTCCGAAGGTAGTTTTGGAAGGAAGCGTGACGAACGATTGAGTCTCCCAGAAGACAGAAGACCACGTCTTGAGAAACATTGTGAAAAGGACATGTAAGATGCTCAGCACAGGACTTCTCACCTTCAGAATGTCTCCTCGGAATATGCCAAAGACGTTCTAGAACGTGGCATTGTGAGGAAGAAGACCTTCTCCTATCCACATCAGTTCAGCATCTTTCACTAAGAAGGGAAATATGAGAGGGCAATACTAATAAATACACCGTGATTTACACACATTGCTTCTTGAAGCATTCTGCTGGAATCCAACATGGTGGTCTACTTGGATTTGGATACAGACTGGTGAACTGAGTGCATCCGTCGATTCTGTTTCCACCGTTCTCTGGTCCATCTCCCACGGTTCTCCACAACTTCATGCAGCAGGTTCATGTAGTTGTTTTCATTGCTTTCCAGTGAGGCTGCGTCATCGTAGGAAGAACTTGCAGTAGCAGCATCAACCGATGAGCCTGGAGATGGACGGACAGCATGGCAAGCTCTGGACTGAGAAGACATTGGCTTGGGAAAGTGGGCATTCTTGATATTGGTTGTGTTGACTCTAGACTGTGAGGAATGTGCAAGTCCTCTAACTGCTACCTCTGATTCTTTCTGAATGAGAGACTCTAACTGGTTGGTTGGTTCCAGCTCAGATCCACCACAATCTCTTTGATCATCCTTCCTTGGTTGGGTAGGATCATACGTTCCAAGCTTGATTGTCTCTCCAAAAGCTTCTTCTGCCTTTGGTTGTCTTTCATGTGGAAGCTGTCCTTCTTTGGCCTCTCCCTTGACTTGATGTTTGCCGTTGACATGCTCTTTCCAGGGATGGATTGGTAGCCACGCTTCATGACCTTCTATTTCACCAGAAATTGGTGTCTCACTCGAGTGAGGAGAAGGTATGAAGAGCTGTGCTCTGAAGGATTCTCTAACGTTTAACATATTGGACTTCTGGTCCCAAAACTTCCTTTCGTAAGGCCAGGTCAATGTTCGCTTCAAGACGGCGGAGTGGTTTCCATCCGGTTTTGGAATCAGGTCTTTTGGTGGGTTGACATCAACTTGTTCTTTAGGAGCTGTGGCAATGCTTAAGTATAAGAAGGGCTCTGGGTTATCAGTGTCATTTTTATTATCGTTCTCCTCAAGCTTTCCTGAAAACCCATTACCTTCCAGTGTTGGGTTGGTAGCTTCTGCTTTGATCCCAGGTGTTTCTATACATACTTCGGTCAGGAATGAGCCGACATTGTAGCGGCTCTGAAATTCCTCTTTGTTTCCCTTTTCCAACATCTGGTAATCCCGCCCCTCCATAAAGATATCCAAGTTGCCCCTTCCAAACGACATTTTGTCATTCAGTGACACATACGGTGTTGTTGTCATGGGATCCCATTTGGAGTCAGTGGCACAGGAGGTCTGTTGACGTCTCTGGAAGAACTCCGTTTGCAGCAAAATGGCAGATGCAGACTTGGCCCGGACTTTGAGCCTCAGACTTCTGGAAGCTGTGCCTATCTCAGAGGGTTTTAATTTTTTGTTAGATTGTTGACATTCAGCTATAGAATCAACACAATTCATTGATTTTGCACCAATGGCCAGGTCGACAACTTCCTTGCTTGGTCGGACTTGTTTGTTTCCCCGCTTCACCGTCCAGATCCAAAACAGCAGCACAAGAAAGGAAATAAACACTGCCAAAAAAGAAAGAGAAAAGAAAGAAAGTTTTAAAACAACAACAACAACAACAACTTTATTCTTACATCTCGCCTCCATCTCCCGAAGGGACCCGGGGCGCCTTACATTTGGACCAAGCCCAGTATAAACAAAGTTGGAAAGTAACACTGTTAAAACATATAACAACCAACTATATGGAAACAATAGAATGAATAAACCGAAGACATCATGAAACATAACCAACCAGTGACCGAGAAAAGTTGGTATGTGCAGATTTGAGATTAATAGGGCAGAGCAGGGCTAGTGCAATGCAAACAATGCTGTCACACGCTAGGCCTGTGAAAAGGTATGTATACAGGACGTGTTCTGTATGCCCAACGGGACGCCAGGGGTGCCTCGGATTAGAGGCCTTTTGGCACGCCTGCCAGTGCTCGCAGCCGAGTGTCTCTTACTCTAGAGTAAGAGGTGCTCATCTGCAGGCGCACTCCGGGCCTGCCTGCATGCCCAGCCACACACACCCTGCCACACTCTCTGAGAGTGCGTGTCTGGAGGACCTACTATGTTGATTTATGTATATGCTGAATTGGAGGGTGAGGAACTATGACCCCATGAAACCCGCCAACCAAATGCTATATTGAATCGACCTGTTGAGTCAATGGGATTTAGGGAAGTGTTGACTTCAGGTCTACTCTAGTTGGGATTTGCAATTGGATTGAAGACATTCCCACTCAATACAGTGATAATAGAGATACCTAAGAAATGTCCTACGTTGGTGTACCCAAGCGTACCTAAGCAGGCTAGCAAAGCTGGCAATCCCACTTTATGGAAAGCATTTCCAAAGGTAGATGGAAGACGATCAGGTAAACACTTGATGTCTGAGATGTTCCAAACATGGACTCCTCGAAGGCTCAGTGGAGAGTGGCACACAACGTTTGGAGCGTCTTCCAGCAGGGATGCGTTGATCATCTCTGTGGAAATACACAAAACCCACATCACTTGATAGAAATAGATGTGCATTTCTAATAGCTGACAGGCCCAGCTCTATTCCGTAATGTTGGCATTGACCTCCAAAACTTTCCACCAAGTTGAGGTCTTCCAAATATGGTCAGAGCTTGGAAGAAAAGAGTTACACGCAACATAATCACCCTTATTTAGATACAGCCCCCTTTTAGTAATGAAAGTGTGCTAAAGCTTGGATATTTTAAAGTACAATTCCCATTGTCCCCACAAAAGTGTCAGCCATGTTTGGCTAAGTCAGGTGGAGACTAACCACTTGGTCCAACCATCCCCCAGTCTTGCAACGACAACTGAGATTCATAAATTCATATACCTTGAAGGAATAATCCCCAATCTTGAAGTTCGCAGGAGCAATTCCATGGATTGCCACCCAGCTTCATGGTCGGGAACGTTGTTAGCCCATGGAACACGGATCTCCTCAAAGCCGTTAAATGGTTGCCGGAGAGGTCAAGAAATTTCAGCTTGGCCAGGTCCTTAAAACTTCCTCTGGCAATGTCACGGATCCGATTGTTGGCCAAGTTCAGCGTAATGAGGTTGGACAAACCGGAGAACATGTTGGGTCCAATTTGAGTGATGAAGTTCTCAGCCATGGTGAGGTTTTCTAAACGTCCCGGGTTGGAAAGCCATGAAGCCGACACGTAAGTTAGGCTATTCTGATACAGGCTGAGCTTTGTGAGGCTTTGGAAAGCGTGGAGGGCTCCAGCTTCCATTTCTGTGATGCCGCTGTTTGCCAGGGCGAGGCTGGTGACCGACGCCAAGCTTGCGCTGTTGAAGATGGTTGAGTTGATCACCCCAAGGTTGGTGACCACAAAGAGGATGGATGTCAGCCCTTCAGGAAAACCTAGAGAACGACATTAGTCATATTGGACCCAAGTAGTCCCTGATCAAGTAGTCCCTGGTCAAGTAGCCCCTGGTCAAAGTGGTCCCTGGTCAAGTACTCCCTGGTCAAGTAGTCCCTGGTAAAAGTGGTCCCTGGTTAAGCAGTCCCTGGTCAAAGTGATCCCTGATCAATTAGTCCCGGGTCAAAGTGGTCACTGGTCAAAGAGGTCCCGCGTCAAGTCTGGTCCCTGGTCAAGTAGTCCCTGATCAAAGTGGTCCCTGGTCAAGTGGTCCTTGGTCAAAGTGATCTCTGGTCAAGTAGTCCCTGGTAAAAGTGGCCCCTGGTTAAGCAGTCCCTGGTCAAAGAGGTCCCTGGTCAAAGTGATCTCTGATCAAGTAGTCCCTGCTTAAAGTGGTCACTGGTCAAGTAGTCCCTGCTCAAAGTGGTCTCGGTTCGAAGTGGTCTCTGGTCAAAAAAAGGCTGGGAACCACTGTCTTAACCCCACCACAAAAAAACATAGTGCTTTTGTTGTCTAATGGTATTTTCTAGTTCACATCCTCCAAATGACTCCACTGTCTACTATTTTGCCCACCAATGACTCGCAGCCTTCCCTGATCAAAGTGGTCTTCCATAGGATGATGCCATGGCAATTAGAGTGCTATATAGCAATATAGGGGCCACAGCGGTACAATGGGTTAAACCCTTGTGCTGCTGAAAACTTGATGACCTGAAAGTTGGCAGTTCGAATCCATGGGACGGGGTGAGCTCCCACTGTTAGCCCTAGCTCTTGCCAACCTAGCAGTTCAAAAACACACAAAAGTGAGTAGATCAATAGGCACTGCTTCGGCGAGAAAAGGCAAAAAGATGCTCCAGCCACACGACCAGGAGGTGTCTACAGACAATATTTTGGCTTGGAAATGGAGAAAGAGAACCTCCACAGAGCCGGAAATGAAAGGAGAAGCCTTTGCCTTTGTCTGTTTATTTGTGTCTTATTGTAGTTCTTTGTAACAGGCATTGAATGTTTGCCTGTGTCTTTTTATATGCTGTAATCCACTCTGAAGAAGGGTGGAATATAAATAAAGATTGTTGCTGTTGTTTGGTTGTTGTTGTTGTTGTTGTTGTTGTTGTTGTTGTGTAGTATGACTGGATCCCAGGGATTCTATTCCTAACCTTGCTAGGAGCTGAGGATTGGATCTGTGACCATCTATGTGCAAATAGCGCACTTTGGTTGGTGTTCAATGGTATTATGGTCAAATGTTGACATTCGTAATCCTTTGGAAGGAAACTCACCATTTGGGATGGAAGAGCAGAAATACTCCTTTTCAAGGACGCACTGGGGCCTCGAAAGCCGTACTATGTTCCAAACCAAAGCAAGGCCAAAGATCACTGCAATGTCAAAGACAGGCAGCAGTTAAACTCTTGTGCCGGCAGGTCGGAGGCTCAAATCCGTGTAGAGTGTGGATGAGCTCCCTCTGTTAGCTCCAGCTCCCCATGCGGGGACATGAGAGAAGCCTCCCACAAGGATGGTAAAACATCAAAACATCGGGGCGTTCCCCTGGGCGATGTTCTTGCAGACAGTCAATACTATCACATCAGAAGCGACTTGTAGTTTCTCAAGTCGCTCCTGATACACATACAAAACAAGTGCAATGTGAGAAAGTTAGGGACTGAAGGTCCAAACTGTTTTTGTCATGGCGAAGATGACTTCCCCTGCCCAAGCCACTAGGCCTGGTCAATCCATGGTTCTAAAGTACTTACAAAACTAAAGTTCTGGTGGTGAAAATTTCAGAACTCTAACAAAACTTTCAAAATTTAATTATTATTCCATTACTGGTGATTTTTATGATAGAACCAAGTAGGAACTGCCATTTATAATGAAATTGTGAGTTTTGTTAGAGTTCTGAAATTTTCACCACCAGAACTTTAGTTTTGTAAGTACTTTAGATAATAATTTAATTATTATTTCATTACTGGTGATTTTTATGATAGAACCAATTAGGAACTGCCACTTATAATGAAATTTTGAGAGTTTTGTTAGAGTTCTGAAATTTTCACCACCAGAACTTTAGTTTTGTAAATACTTTAGAACCATTTAGAACCATGGATTGACCAGGTCTACAGCCACCTATCGACTTCTGGGTGACCCCATGTACTTCATAGGATTTTCTTACTTAGGCAAGGGATTTTGCCGGTTCCATCCTCTAAAACATTGCCTACAATGCCTGGTCTGTATTGGTGGTCTCCCATCCAAGTATTAACTTGGGCTAGCCCTGCTTAACTTCCATACGGAGTCAGAAGCTGAGACCTTTTGGGGTACAGCGACTACTTGTGCACTGGGCCTTTCCTGGCTTATTAAACTTGACTGCAGGGGATCGGCTGAGTGGTTCACGAGGACTATAAATGCCTCATTGGAACAGGGACAAATACCATCGAGCCTAAAAAAAGGCAATAGTAAAATAGTAAAAATTTGAAGAGGACCTCCTGGGATTTCTGATATTTCTAATTGCCCCTTTTGGGGGAAGGTTCTGCAGTGAGTGGTGGCTTCTCAACTTCAGGGATTCTTGGGTGAAACTCATTATCTCGATCCATCGCAGGCAGGCAGGAAGGAAGGAAAGAAGGAAGAGGAAGGGAGGGAAAGGGGAAAGGGAAGGAAGGGGCAAGGCAAGGGCAGGGGGAAGGGAAGGGAGGTAAGTAAGAGAGGGAAGGAAGGAAGGAAGGAAGGAAGGAAGGAAGGAAGGAAGGAAGGAAGGAAGGAAGGGGAAGGAGAAGGGGAAGGAAAAGGGGAAGGGAAGGATGTAATGGAGGGAAGGAAGGAAAGAAGGAAGGAAGGAAGGAAGGAAGGAAGGAAGGAAGGAAGGAAGGAAGGAAGGAAGGAAGGAAGGAAGGGAAAGGGGAAAGAAGGAAAGAAAGAAGGAAAGAGAAGGGGAGGGGAAGGAGGGAAGGGGAAGGAGTGGAGAAGGGGAAGGGAAGGGGAAGGGAGGGAAGGAAGGAAGGAAAGAAGGAAGGAAGGGGAAGGGGGAAAGAAGGAAGGAAGGGGAGGGGAAGGGGGAGGGAGGGAAGGAAGGGAAGAAGGGGAAGGGAGAAAGGAAGGGGAAGGGGAAGTAAAAGGGGAAGGGGAAGGGAGGGATGTAAAGAGGGGAAGGAAGGAAGGAAGGAAGGAAGGAAGGGGAGAAGGAAGGAAGGGGAAGGGAAGGAGTGGGGAAAGGGAAGGGGAAGGGAGGGAAGGAAGGAAGGAAGGGAAGAAGGAAGAAAGGAAGGACGGAGGGGGAAGGGGAAAGAAGGAAGGGGTAAGGAAGGGGAAGGGAAAGAAGGAAGGGAAGGGAAGAGAGAGGGGAGGGAGAGGGAAGGAAGGAAGGAAGAGGAGGGGAAGGAAGGGGAAGGGAGGGGAAGGAGTGGGGAAAGGGAAGGGGCAGGGAGGGAAGGAAGGAAGGAAGGAAGGAAGGAAGGAAGGAAGGAAGGAAGGAAGGAAGGGGGAAAGAAGGAAGGGGTAAGGAAGGGGAAGGGAAAGAAGGAAGGGGAAGGGAAGGGAGAGGGGAGGGAGAGGGAAGGGAGGGAGGAAGAAGAGGAGGAACGTAAGGAAGGGAGACAATTCAGGAAACATGTAAAAACCCTCTGAAGATTTCTTTCCTGGAGATGGTGTACTAGATCCTGAGATCTGACCACATAGAATAGATCACTGGAGCAAAGACATGGACTAGAGGTACCTTCTGATCACGATCGCATGCAGAGTTTGCCAATTCTGTTGACTTACATTTCATGCTGGGCCAGTCGGTTCCTTCCGTTAGCGATCTCCTTCGTCTTGGAGGATACTGAGAGTTTTCCGAGAGCATCCTAACACATCAAGGTCAGTGTCTTACCCTCCTTTGGGTAGAGACAGGCAAGTTGGAACCTGTCACCTCCAGAGCTGTAGGGGGTCTTTCTCCTTTTCCGGACACAGGGTTCAGGTTGACAAAGCAGCATCTCCATAGCATTATCATGGAGTTTGCCCATTAACCAGAAATACATTAACCATCCCAGAACAACTGTATATATTTTATTTTTGCCACTTTTTTCTGAGCTGGAGATATGTGGCACTACAGATTGAATAACACTGTTTTTTGGTGGGAAAGTATTAGTGAATTCAAGGCTTAGTTTTTAAGACATTGATAATGAAAATTGGCTTTTTTGTATTACTATATTTCATCGATTCGAAGACACAGTTATGTCAGTACCACAACAAATAATCTATATTCATACTAAAAGTGGAAATACGCATGTGTGTATGTGACTGGCGTGTCCACTTCCACAGACAAGCTCCCACTTCCATAAAGAACTATAGCTCCCACTAGTCAGGAGACACCAAAGGCCCTTCCTCCAAAGACACTGCAGGTTGTAGTGAGTGCCATGAGCATGTCCAAGAGGCCTTCCAATGTCCTCCACAAACACCACACTGCCCACCACCCAAGTGAAGGCTTTCATTCGGGGACAATTCCATCCTAGAGTTTGTGTGTTTCCTCCACCACAGACATCCCAGTGTTCCTTTCTCTCTCCATTGGTGTGGAATTTGCATGATCCCGCCCACTGCCTTAACCCTTTCTTATTATTTCCTATGGTACACAGCAAACAGAGGAATTGATCAGCAACTAGAGAGGTTCACCATGATTTATAGGAGTTGTAAGTACTGAGATGTATAGTTCACCTGCAATCTAAGAGCACACTGAACTCCACCAATGATGGACCTGGAACTAAATTAGTACACAGATAACCCTTGAAAAACAAAAAATACTAAGAGGTCTTTAGAGGAATTTATAGGAGTTGTAGTTCGCCTACATCCGGAACGCACTATGGACCCAAACAATGATGGATCTGGACCAAACTTGGCATGCATATCCGATATGCCTAAATTTGAATACCGGTGGGTTTTGAGGGGAGTTGGCCTGGACATTTTGGAGTTGTAGATACCCGGGATTTATAGTCCCCTACAATCAATGAACACTGTGAATTCCACCAAAGATGGGATTGGACCAAACTTGGCACACAGAGCCGCCACGATTAGCTAAAATACTGGATGTCTGTGAGGGAAATTCACCTCGATTTGGGGGAGTTCCAGTTCACCTACATCCAGAGCGCACTGTGAACCCAAATACTGATGGGTCTTGACCAAACTTGGCACACATACCTGATATGCCGAAATTTGATTACAGGAGAGGTTTGGGGGGAACTGACCTTCCTTTCTGGGAGTTGTAGTTCACCCACAACCAGAGAAACTGTGACCTCCACTGAAGATGGACCTGGACCAAAGTTGGCACACAGAACCCTCACGACTAATTCAACCTACTGGAGGGGTTCGAGGAGACTGATTCACCATAGTGGGAGTTGTAGTTTACCCTACTGCCAGAGAGCACACTAAACCCCACTGATGATGCATTATATTTTTATATTTTATTTTATATATTATATATTTACATTTTTTTATTTTAGTTTATTTTATATTATATATTTTATATGTTTATCTATTTTATTTTATATATTTTTATATTTTAATATTATATATATATACATTTTATATTTTATTTTATTTTATATATTTTATAAGTTTATCTATTTTAATTTATATATTTTTATATTTTATTATATATATTTATATTTAAGTTTATTTTATATCTTTTATGTTTATCTATTTTATTTTATATATTTTAATATTTTAGTATATATATATATACATGTTTACATTTTATTTTATATTATATTATATCTTTTATTTGTTTATCTATTTTATTTTAAATATTTTTATATTTATATTTTATTATATATATATATATATTATATAATTTTGTTATTTTATTTTATATTTTATATACTTTTATATTTTATTTTCTATTATATCTTTTTACATTTTTATATTATATTTTATTATTTTCTATTATATAATTTATATATTATATATTCATATATTTTATATTTATATTTTATTTTTTTATTTTCTATTATGTATTTTTATATTTTATTTTTATATGTATATATATATATATATATATATACACACACACACAGTATATTTATAATAATTAGCAGTTCGAAAACATGCAAATGTGAGTGGATCAATAGGTACCGCTCCGGTGGGAAGGTAATAGCGTTCCATGCAGTCCACATGACCTTGGCGGTGTCTATGGACAACGCCGGCTCTTTGGCTTAGAAATGGAGATGAGCACCACACCCCAGAATCGGACACGACTGGACTTAATATCAGGGGACACCTTTACCTATATTTATGATTGCATGTAACTTGCCCAACATAAAAAAACTTTATGTACTGATGGAGTTTCTCGGGGCTAATCTAGCATGATGGGAGTTGTAGTTCACCCACAATGTGGTTCCTGGACAAAAAAAATGGTTGGGAATCACAGTTTTAAGGAAATTAAATACACTCAAGCACAAGAAGCACATCTGTAAAAAAATCTGCAAAGGATGTGTGTGCAGACGACAAAACAAAAAAAAAGGGAAGATGCATGGAATAATCGAAAAGAAAAATCCGTGGATGATCTTTATTAAATTTCAGTGCCTTCATAAAATAAATATGTCGTATAATATCAAACAGGGAGAAATAAAGCATGAAAAGCATGTAACAAAAAAAATAATAATAATACACTCATGACAGTATTTTAATACTTTGCATTTTTAGAAATAATAATAATAATAATAATAATAATAAAGCCATTTCCTTATATACATGGTAGCCAACTATGAAACAAAATGTACAGCTGACCTATATATATTTTCGTCCTGGGAGGGGAATGGGATCGAGGAGACTGCAACCGAAGACCTTCATTCTCTCTAGTGTTAAAGTACCCTATTTCTCGCCCCTTTCTATACAAAGGCTCAACTTCATTCCAATTATATTAGTATTATCAAAAAGTCCATTAAAGAGCCACACTGGGGTGCGGGTTAGCGCTCTTCTCATCTAGTGTCGCAACAGGAAACGGATTCAAGTAACACTTCGAAGAAGTAGAAGCAAAACATGTGCAAACCAAGCTATATAGAACCCTAGAAAAGGAAATTCCCCAGCAGCAAAAACATGATGCCTTTGGGATTGAATAGAGTTTGGGTTGCTGTGAGTTTTCTGGGATGTCTGGCTGTGTTCCAGAAGCATTCTCTCCTGACGTTTCGCCCACATCTATGGCAGGCATCCTCAGAGGTTGTGAGGTCTGTTGGAAACTAGGCAAGTGGGGTTTGTTGGGAGGTGTTAGCTGGCCCTGATTGTTTCCTGTCTGGTATTCCCCTGTTGGAAACTGGGCAAGTGGGGTTTATATACCTGTGGTATTCCCAGGGTGGGAGAAAGAACTCTTATCTGTTGGAAATAGGTGTGAATGTTGCAGCTGACCACCTTGATTAGCACTGAATAGCTTTGCAGCTTCAAAGCCTGGCTGCTTGATTGGGGTATCCTTTGTTCTTACTTGCCTCAAACAGACAAGTGTTCTTTCTCCGACCATGGATATTATTCCACTTGGCTAGTTTCCAGACAGGAAACAATCAGGGCCAGCTAACACCTCCCAACAAAGGATTCCCCCAGGCAGGAAGCAGCCAGGATTTGAAGCTGCAAGGCTATTCAGTGCTAATCAAGGTTCACATTTGCTCAAACAGACAAGTGTTCTTTCTCCAACCCTGGATATTATTCCACTTGGCTAGTTTCCAGACAGGAAACAATCAGGGCCAGCTAACACCTCCCAACAAAGGATTCCCCCAGCCAGGAAGCAGCCAGGATTTGAAGCTGCAAGGCTATTCAGTGCTAATCAAGGTTCACACTTGCCCCAAACAGACAAGAGTTCTTTCTCCCACCCTGGACATTATTCCACAGATATATCAACCTCACTTGCTAAGTTTCCAACAGACCTCACAACTTCGGAGGATGCCTGCCATAGATGTGGGCGAAACGTCAGGAAATAATGCTTCTGAAACAAGGCCATACAGCCTGGAAAACTCACAGCAACCTAGTGATTCTGGCCATGACAATATATATATATATAGACAGACCTTTTACTTGCTTTTTGGGGAAAGAGGCATATTTTGCAACATGATTCTCAATCCTGCCAGATTAATATTATTTTTTTCGAAGGGGAAAAAGCACACAGCGTTAAAGGTCTCAAACTCAAGATTTTTAATATTTCGAGATGGAAAAGAGGGAGGAAGAAAAAGAAAAACCAAACAAGAACCAAACAAAGGCGTATCTGAGCCTTCCAAACAAATGCAGATCGGATTGCAAAAAAATGCTAGTATACAGAAACTGGTTTGTTGTCTTACGTATTAGTATATATGTTTGCTCAGAAAGAAAGAGAAGAAATAGAAATGACACATGCTCTGTTTTAGAGCATGCTTATCCAGCCACAAATACAAATAATAATAATAATAATAATAATAATAATAATAATTATTATTATTATTATTATTATTATTATTATTATTATTGTGATAATAATACAAATAATAATAATAATAATAATAATAATAATACATATTATTTTTATTATTATTATTATCGTAATAATAAAAAGAAAAGAGAGACAGGACAAAGCGGAATTAACTTTCCAGGACATGATTCAAAAAGCGTTAGTATCGAATCGGGTAATCATTATTAATAAGTGCATCGTTATACAGGAGTCGACGTACGTGCTCTGTGTGAAAAGGTCCCTCTATGACTAGAATCCATCGAAAAGACCCAAAAAGAAAAAGAAAAATATATATCAGGGTACCACTCGAAACAGATTTTGACTTGCACTCCGTTCCATGTGCCTCAATGTCAACATTAGGGATTTTCCGGCAAGTAGCACCTGTTCGAACGCCTCTTCCGTGATTGTTTCTCCGAGAAGTGGTCGCCGGCCTTCCAAGTTTGCATAAGTCCTCCATTTAAAAAAAGAAGATTTAACATCTTTCAGTGCTTTGTAAAGACGCGATACTGTTAAGTAAACTTTTCGTTCTGAGCAGCAAAGGGCCGGATTCGGTCGTCGTTTCCTCCCGAAGTCAGAGCTCCGTGTTGGCAGTAGATACAGGACCAAGAGTTCGATTATATTATTGTGGGGGTTGCGTTCTCCTTCCAATGAAGTCCTGATCTCGTTGTTCTCCCAAAGCAACTCTGAAATGGGTTTTGTTTTATTTGCGGGGAGGAGAAATAAAAAATAATAATAATACGCTTCTGATTCGTACCGACAAAGAACTTCAAGTAAAAAAGGAAATCCATTGCTTGAGATCTTGCTACATGCACTTTTCCCACGCGTGAAAAGCCTCCGTAGTAAGCAACGGGTTGTAACAGCTATTTTGTTTTAGTCATCCATACAAAAACAAAAAAAAGTAAACCCAGACGTTGTTCCTTCATTCTCTCCTTACATCCACGTTTTTTTTTAAGACACCTCTTTCTCTCTTTTTTGGGGGGTTGGGAAAGGGGAGCACGAGAAGAAGGGGGTTCTCCTCCCCGGCGGCGAAACCAACAACAATTCAAGTCTCAATCTCTCCCCGCGACATCATCATTTGCGAGTCTGGGTCTTCTTTGGCACAGCGGGCCGCTTGGGCTGCCACAAGTGGTTGTGGATGGTGAGGGCGTCCACACTGACGGACATGGTCTTGGCCGGGATCAGGTTGAACTGCTTCCGGTCCGAGCTGTATTTGTACAGCTTGTCGATCATCTTCTTGGCGATGCTCTTTGGCCCCGTCCCGGTCAGCTTGTAGATCTCTTCGGTGTCCGGGTAGTAGCAGTAAAGTGCTCGGAACTGGCAGCCGGCGTCGCGGAACAGGATGATGTAGTGGTTGGCGTCGCACTTCTCAAGCTCCTGGGGAAATGCAAAGAGGGAAACGGTTATTATTTATTTATTTATTTACAACTTTTATATCCCGATCTTCTCACCTCCGTAGAGGGACTCAGACTGGCTTACAGCAAGGATTCAATGCTACTAATACAACTTAGAACATCATACAACAATACAAGATTAAAATACACATATACCAAATCGCTAAGGTAAAATCATGTTCAACTCAGTCCACATATGTGGTCACTCACTTTGGTCTGTAACCAGTCTCAGCTGTTATTCTAGGAATGCTTCGTTCCATAACTGGGATTTCACTAGCCTCTTGAAGGACAAGAGGGAGGGGGCAGATCTAATCTTGCTCGGGAGAGAGTTCTATAGACAAGGGGCCACCACAGAGAAGGCCCAGTCTCTCGTCCCCACCAAACGCGCTTGCGAAGATGGTGGGACCGAGAGTAGGGCCTCTCCGGAAGATCTTAATGTCCTTGATGGTTCATAGGGGAAAATACGTTCGGACAGGTAAACTGGGCCGGAACCGTATAGGGCAGTGGTTCTCAACCTGGGGTCCCCAGATGTTTTTGGCCTTCAACTCCCAGAAATCCTAACAGCTGATAAACTGGCTGGGATTTCTGGGAGTTGTAAGCCAAAAACATCTGGGGACCCCAGGTTGAGAACCACTGGTATAGGGTTAGGGGATGAGAACTATTTATTTATTTACAGCAGGGGTCCTAGGAGCCCCCGGTGACGCAGTGGGTTAAATCCCTGTGCTGGCAGGCCTGCAGACCAACAGGTCGCAGGTTCGAATCCTGGGAGAGCGTGGCTGAGCTTCCTCTATCAGCTCTAGCTCCTCATGTGGGGACATAAGAGAAGCCTCCCACAAGGATGGTAACACATCAAAACATCCGGGCAATGTCCCCTAGGCAACGTCCTTGCAGACGGTCAATTCTCTCACACCAGAAGCAACTTGCAGTTTCTCAAGTCGCTCCTGATACAACTAAAAAACGTATATTATTATTTTCTATATTATTTGTCTATATTATTATAAATTATTATTATTATTATTATTATTATTATTATTATTGGAGCCCCCGATGCTGCAATGGGTTAAACCCATGTGCCAGTAGGACTGAAGACTGACAGGTCGCAGGTTCGAATCCTGGGAGAGTGCGGATGAGCTCCCTCTATCAGCTCTAGCTCCTCATGTGGGGACATAAGAGAAGCCTCCCACAAGGATGGTAACACATCAAAACATCCGGGCAATGTCCCCTGGGCAACGTCCTTGCAGATGGCCAATTCTCTCACACCAGAAGCGACTTGCAGTTTCTCAAGTCACTCCTGACATGACAAAAAAAAAAATCCTAATTTTATAAAACTTCATTTTAAAATCATTAAAAAAAAAAGAACGGAAAACGGAATGTTGGTGGGCAGGAAAAGAGATTGAAAGATGGGCTCAAAGCCAACCTTAAAAACTGTGGCATAAACACTGAGAACTGGGAAGCCCTGGCCCGTGAGTGCTCCAGCTGGAGGTCAGCTGTGTCCAGCAGTGCTGTAGAATTTGAAGAGGCACGAATGGAGGGCAAAAGAGAGAAACGTGCCAAGAGGAAGGTGCATCAAGCCAACCCCGACCAGGACCACCTCCCACCTGGAAACCAATGCCCTCACTGCGGGAGAAGATGCAGATCAAGAATAGGGCTCCACAGTCACCTACGGACGCACCGCCAGAACACCGACTTGGAGGTCCATCATCCTTGGACTACGAGGGATCACCCTAAGTAAGTAAGTCAGAACTACCAAAAAAAAAAAGATCTCAAAGTTGGCCTGTAAGGATGGAGTGGGGATCTGGATTAAATTCAGGCAAAAATGCCCTCTCACACAAAGCCACTGGTACGGCAAATACATTCTTTCAGATATCTATGCTTTACTGGGATCCAACACGAGGCAAAATAATAAGCAGTATTCTTTGCTTGTCCCCAAATGCCCTTGCGTCAGTTGCAGATGTTGCAAACAGCTGCCCTGACAAGTCAGACTGCAATATGTCACACATCTGCAATCACTTCAGAACACAACACATTTTTTTGTTTTGGTCAATGAGCAGTGCAATCGGTTCATATTCTTCCGCTTGCTCCCAGACAATGCAGTACATAGGAAAGGCACAGTGAATGAAACATCAGCAGGAAAAAAAAAATATATACTTGCCTCCAATATGGAATTCTTGTGAGGCTCATTGACTTTTCCAGCAAGACAGCAGTGGGAGATGGCATTGTGGATGATTGGTTTGTTTGACTTGCTGCTGGGCTCTTTAAAGAGCTTCGGACCTAGGAAAGAGATTTTGGAAAAAGTAAGCAACTTCCTGATTTTATTACAACTTAAGCAAGTTCAAAAAGAGGGGAAAGTACGTCAATAAGGGAAGAAAGGTTACCAAAGGTCAATTGGAGACATCATTCAAATGGGATATAATATAAATAATATGAACCGTCTAGGACCTTAAGATCATCTGGGGAGGCCCTGCTCTCGTTACCGCCTTTGTCACAAGTACGTTTGGTGGAGACAAGACAGAGCCTTCTCGGTGGTGGCCCCTCGGCTGTGGAACGCCCGTTATAGATATTAGATCGCCCCCCTCCCTTTCAACATCCTGGAAAAAAGTCAAGATGTGGCTTTTTGAACAAGCGTTTCCAAATGCAGAGTAACTGACATAGGAAAATGGAACGACGACAAATGAGACCGGACAACTTTTTTAACAAGGAGACACTATGAATTAATATTTTATTGATATGTTTCATTTTTATTATATGTTATCTTTTAATTGTATTTATGATATTGTAAGCATTGAATTTTACCCTGTTAACTGCCTTGAGTCGCCTACGGTACAAATACAGTAAATAAAATAAATAAATAAACTACCTATAAAACGCTTATACAGAGTTGGATCTAGACTTGATCGTAACTAAGAGCAGGACCACAGAACTCAATGGGACTCAACATAAATAGAAGAAGGCCTGCCTCAGGGGAGTGTGCTTGCTCCATCAGTGTTTAACATTTGCACAAATGATCAACCACTGCAGAAGGGACAGAGAGTTTCATCTATGCTGACGATCGTGTCATCACCACTCAAGCTGGGAGCTTTGAAATGGCTGAAAAGAAGCTCTCTGAAGCTTTAGGTGCTCTTACTGTCTATTACAGGGAAATCAGATGATTCCTAATTGTAGCGAAATTGCTACTCTATGTTAAATTTTTGGTGTATAGCTCTGTGTTTACATATGGCAGATAGGGAAGAATAGTCACACACAGGGTAGCAACAACAGAGACAGGATTCATTTGCATATGGAAGCCGATTGGTCATATGCAGATTAGCGTAGGCCCAGGATTTGAAAAGGTTGCTAGGCCAAAATGACAGTTGGGAGGAGGAGAGCTAAACATTCCAAAGGGGCGGAGCCAAGGTTTTAAAAATAGGCAGGTAGAGTGTCAAAAGGGGGGAGTTAGGAATTGCTGTTTGTGAGAAGAGTTAGGGATTCCTGTTTGTGAGAGTCAGTTAGGAACTTCCGTGAGAGAAAAGAGTTAGGAACTTCTGTTAGAAATAAGCAGTTATGAAGATGTGTTAAAGACTTCTGATATATAGAAACAGTTAGTTAAATACAGCTCAAGTTTTAGGAACATAAAGAAAGCCAGTAGTGCTTTAGTCAGAATATAATTTCAGTCAAGAGTGTGTAAAGCAAGTAACATGTTTGTGAATGTGAAACATTGAAAGTCTACTTCAGAAAAGTAAACCAAGCATATTATACTGACTGTAAGCCTCAAGATTGCAACAAAACACAAATGTAACCACAAGCGTTGGAGCCAGAAGTTATAAATAAACTGTGTTACTTTGTTATACAGAAGTGTGTCTCAGTGCCTGTACAAAGGTTAAACAGCACACAGAAAGTCTCAGCTAATATAAAAGAAGTAACTGAATCAGTATAAGAGCAAAGAGGTTTTCCTTAAATAAAGAATAGTCTCTCTCCATCGCTACACTAATCTAGCTAAAACACAGACATCTGCTTTCCACCTTAAGGACAGACAAGCTCTGAGGATGACCTGGGAAGGAATCCCACTGGAGCACTGCAGCACATCCAAATACCTGAGAGTCACTCTGGACTGAGCTCTGACTTATAAGAAGCACTTCCTGAATATCAAGCAAAAAGTGGGTGCTAAAAATAATATCTTACGAAAGCTAACTGGCACAACCTGGGGATCACAACCAGACAAAGCGAAGACATCTGTCCTTGCGCTTTGCTACTCTGCTGCTGAGTACGCATGCCCAGTGTGGTACACATCTCACCATGTTAAAACAGTGGATGTGGCTCTTAATGAGACATGCCGCATTATCACAGGATGCCTACGCCCAATGCTACTGGAAATACTATACTGTTTAGCCAGTATTGCACCACCTGACTGACATATGCCGCTAAACAGCAGCCTGCAATGAAAGGACCGAGGCACTGACATCTCCGGCCCATCCTCTGTTTGGGTATCAGCCAGCACATCAATGCCTTAAATCAAGAAATAGCCTCCTATGACCTACAGAGATACTTGCAGGAACACCTCAGCAAGCACAGATTAAAGACCACAACATCAGAGCCTGGTTCATATCAGCTCTGATACGTAGTTTAAATGATATGTAGTTTAAATTCACCTGAAATGGGCGGGATAAATAAATAAATAAATAAATAAATAAATATCAAGTTTACCAGTATATTCTGCCACTGAAGCAATTGACGATGCTGTGGAGGTGTTTTCCCAGTCTCTCTCCATGTTTCGACTGGGGTTTCTGCTCAGGATGGGCAAGGATTCCATCGACTCCACTCTGTCGAGACAAACAACAGGGAGAGTGCATGAGAAGCGCCAGATATTGGGCTAATGGGGGCACAGAACAATAGTTTTCTAGATACCAGCCCTCCCAGCACTGTGCCTGATACTATTTTGTGTTTTCGAAGGCTTTCATGGCCAGAATCACTGGGTTGCTGTGAGTTGCTGTGAGTTTTCCAACCTGTCTAGCCTTTTTCCAGAAGCATTCTCTCCTGACATTTCAAAAAAAAAAATCCTAAGGGGAACCATCACATTCCCCAAATCCCATTTTTCTTACCGCTGTGATGGGGTTCCCCCAGAATGGACGCTTTCAGGCTCCGTGGTTGCTGCCGATGCCAAGGACAGGCTGGAGCCCGACTGTGCACTGCTGAGATTATCCGCTGGCAAAGAAGAAAAAGAAAAGTGAGAGGTTGCAAAAGAGACCTAAGTCGCTTCCTTCCATCACTGCGGGACCCAAATGGCTGCTGTTGCTGCTGCTTACGGGTTGTGGAACACTTTGTCCCTGAATCGCTGTAGGATTCCTCTCGATGAACAGACTTTGGCCTGGCCTTCTTGGGCTTGGGTTTGGGCTTAGGTTTCCCAAGGCCTTGTTCTTCCAAGATCTGCTGCTGCTTCCTTCTCAGATATTCTTGTTTGATGAGCTCTCTTCGGGCCTTCTCTTCCTCCTTCCGGATTCGGTCTTCTTCAGCTTTGCGGCTAAAAAGAAGGCCAACGAGAGCGTGTCATTCCCCCAGTTATCAAGGGTGAGCATTACAAAGTAGCCACCCTCTTTAAACAGGAAGTACTATTTCATTTACCGCACTTCGTCTCTCTTTTGCTCAACCTCGGCCTCGAGTTGTAGTTTCCGAAGCCGTGTCTCTTCGGCTTTGCGCTGCTGCTTTAAGAGGAAGGCGGCACGTTTTTTTGCAAGTTCGTCTTCAGCTTTCTGCTCATCCTGCCAAATGGAAATTCAGGTAAGAAACAGTGTTCCTATGGTGGGTGAAGAAATACTCCTACAGTTTTAAATTAGCCTAGGTAAAGGTTTTCCCCTGACATTAAGTCCAGTCATGTCCGTCTCTGGGGGTTGGTGCTCATCTCCATTTCTAAGCTGAAGAGCCAGTGTTGTCCATAGACACCTCCAAGGTCATGTGGCCAGCATGACTGCATGGAGCACTGTTACCTTCCCACCGGAGCAGTACCTATTGATCTACTCACATTTAAATGTTTTTGAACTGCTATGGAAAGAGATTGTATACTTTGGAATCTGGTCACTTTGCCTTTTTTTCTCAAGGGAAGAGAAAAGAGTGCGGTTTTGGAGTCATGTTCTTTTTGGCGTTTTTAGCATTTTAGAAGTTTTGGTGTTTTAGGAGTTTTGGAACTATGCGTTGACAGGCTGCAGAGAAAGCAGGTGTTCTTCATAGCGGGAGAATGGAGAAATGATAAATGTGGGACATTGCCTTTTGTGAGCTGCGCTCTTGCTCCTATGTATCCTGCTCTCCTATTGCCCTGTCCATACATTATGTTGGGCCTTTTCATGCAGCAAACTATCTAAAGAACTTGACAGTAGCCAAATACCGTTGCCTATTTTCCAAAGCAAGGTGCAATGTGTCTGTACTGCTGCGTGGGAGATTTGCAGGTACTCCATACAATGAAAGACTCTGCCCATGTAACAAACAGGAAGTAGAGCGCATCTACCACATTCTACTGTCATGCAGTTTCTATGAACAGGCCCAAGCAGACATAATCAACCCCCTACTAAGGAATTTACCAGCAAGTTCAGTGAAATTTTACTTAGTGACAACCTTCCCCACGTGACCTTGGCGCTTGCCAAGTTTCTTTCTGAGGCAGCCAGGATTAGACAATTCCCAATTTTAGACACAGGGTGAAAGTCTTTTACCAATTTTTTAGCCAACTTGTGTTTTAAGCATTTTTTAACTGTTGTAAATTTTATCCATCTGTGTGCCCAAGAAACTGGTTGTTCTTAATTCTCATTGCCTGTATACCTTGTGGCTGAAACACTCTGGCACTTCTTGTAGCCTTTTACCCTTGTTTTTAGCCAACATGTATTTTAAGCAGCTTTTACTGTTTGTAAATTTTATCCACTGGATGTTCTTAATCTCATTACCTGTATAACTTGTATGCTACAGTGTAATAAGGGTCTCTGGCCCAACATACCTATCCGAACGTATCTCGGCCTATCAGCCCACCAGGACCCTAAGATCTTCGGGAGAGGCCCTTCTCTCCATCCCGCCTGCTTCACAGGTGCGGCTGGCGGGAACGAGGGATAGGGCCTTTTCTGTGGTGGCCCCACGGCTTTGGAATGCCCTCCCTATAGAGATAAGATCAGCCTCCTCGCTGATGGCATTTCGAAAAAAACTGAAAACATGGATGTTTGAGCAAGCATTCGGCTAATCCGATGCGATGAAGTTTTGATCAAGGACTGGTAATCACAGACAACGAAATTGGATTATGATTTAAGTTAAGAGATGCATTGGTCTGTATTGGTGGCCCAATACTGTGTATTGTATATGTATGTGTTTTATATTTTTATCGGAATATTGTTGTTTTTAATATTGTAAACCGCAATGAGTCGCCGTTTTAGGCTGAGATATTAGCGGTATACAAGTGTACTAAATAAATAAATAAATAAATAAATAATAAAATTTACCTAATCTAATATTTGGATGAATGAGGATGACTGAATGTGTAGGTGTGTGTGAATGCTGAGTAAAAATGTAATTTCCCTTTGTTTGTAAGCCAATATAGTAGGTTGTTGTGAATCCAATGTAGTTGCATAGAATGTCATTCCTTGTGTAAAAGTGTAAAAGTTCTGTAAAAGTTCGGATACCCTCTCACACTGAAATTACAATAAAAAGAACCTATGCTTTAAAGTTATTGAAAAGTATTCGTGACACACTTACCTTAAAGAAAAACCCAAGTCCTGATTTCTGGTCAATTTCACTGCCCTCTCCTTCCTCGTCTGGACCTCTTAAATCCGACAGGTCGACTTCAATAAGGCTACCTTTGCTTCTCTGGGGTTCCTCTGCTGAGACAGTCTCGTTTCCTGAGCCTTCCAACGAAGGAAGGCTAAACTCTTCCACATTACTATTCACGTCTTTGATTGCTTCAGAGAGGATATTTGTGTCCTTGGGACTGGAGAAGGTAAATCCACCCCGCTGGTTGCTCTCATCACAGAGTCTGTAGCTCTCAAAAGAAAGCTTCTCCTGGGGAGTGGTACCGGGGGCCGAATTGTTTTCAACAGTCATTTCTGTTGGTGTCTTGGCCGTATTGTTTGACGGGAACTGTCTTAAGTGGGGCAAGGTGTCAACGCTGGGAGTCGGGGTCTTGATGCGTGCGGTGGTTTGCTGGCGCTCCTTGACCACTTTGAGTTCGGACGGCCGCCCGGAGCGTGAGCTCCGTCCTTGACCGAGCCTTGGCGGTTTACGAAGGCTGCTCATCCCAGTCGGGGAGAGGGGCTCCACAAAATGAACGGGGGCTCTGATCTTTTGGTCTTGAGAGCCGCCTCGCGACGACGGCGGCATCGTCGGAGCCTTCATCAGAAGCTCCTGCTGCTGAGAAATCTTGAGAATCGCCTGCTGGAGGGTGCTAATGGTTTCGTTCAGCTTTTCGATGGAGAGGTCGCACTCGTTGACGTCCGACGAGTCGATGCTCTCCTCCAGAAGCGCCGCGGAGATCATTTTGCTCTTCTCGATTTCGTGCAGGGTGGGCTCTTTCGGATTGTTCTGCTCCACAAAGGCAACCGTTTCCTGAGTTTTCACTTTGGCGGCTTCGAGGCTGTCCAGTGAGTCATCGCCCCCTTCGTCTCTCATGAAGAACGCCTCCGATTTAGAGCTCAAAGAAGTGTCGTCCAAACCTTCCCCGTTGTGCCGCGAGTATTCTTTTGTGAAGTGTTCTGGTTTAAGCGGCTGGGAAACATCAGCACCTTTCCCTTTCTTCACCACGTGGAGGAAAGCCGCCTTGCCTAGTTTTAGCCGCTGCCGGGCAGATAAAGTCTCCATCTTCTTTTTCTGGGCCTCGATCGCTCTCCGCTTCTCCTCCAGCTGCATGTGAAGCTGGACCAGTTCAGAAGCCAACAGATTAACATTATCTTTACTCTGCCGGTTGGGGCTTTGCTCCCGCTTCTGCTTCCATGTGGTTAGTGGAGCCGGGCAACACTCTGACCCATCCGGGGTGGTCTTCTGCGAGCTACTTGTGCTGGATTTAGTTTCGTAACTGTTCAACCGGTGGAGCTTCCGTTCTGCAAAGCTCGTCATCCTGGCACTCCCGCTGGTCATGGAGACGCTACTGACCTGAGAGATCGTACTCAGGCATGGGCTGGACCGCCCGCTGCCGTCATCTTTGTCTTCGTGTTCCTTGACTTTCATGTCTTCTTGCAACTTCGCTGATTCCTCCTCTCCTATATACTTGGCAATTATCGGGTGATCGTCGACCATTAAATCCTGCTCAGCTTCCTCCATGTCTAGTATGTCTGAGTCAGAGTCCTGCCTGACCATTGTCCATGTGCTTTCCGTCGCGTAGGAATCGGGGGTCTTGACATAGCTAGTCACGGCATCCTCCTCTGTTTTGGCAGCGTGAAGGAAGAACCCTCCAAAGGACTGGTCTCGCGTTGAAGGCTCCAAACTACTACTTGCCTGCGGTCGAAAGGTTTCTGGCCTGAGCTCCAAGTGCAATGCTGGATCTGCCGAGATGGAACCTGCGGGTGTTGTTAGCTCAGGACTGGGAGTTAGATTAAAAGTCCTATTAAGGTTGTGGTCTCCATGATTGCCGTTGGTTTTCTTACGCACCGTGTGCCCCTCAATCAGTCTCTTCGCTCCAAAGCCTCTCATCTTCCCTTCCCCGCACTCATCCTCTTTATTGGTGATCTGTTTCTCCTTTGCTGGCCGTAGAACAGCAGGCATTAAAGGCTCGAGGAAAAAGCTCTCCGGTTTACTTTCGGAGGTTTCGCCTTTCTGGGCCCACGCGGTGGCCACTCCCCCAGGCGATCGGGCTGGCACGCTTTGAAGCTCGAGGCTGCCCTGGTTCGGCACCGTGTCCGGGCGAATGATTGCAATCAGTTCCTCATCCTCGTCTTCGATCTCAACGTTGCTCAGCAAGCTCCTCCCGCTGCTTTTCGGCGGCACGGACTGAGGATGCGGCTTCGGAGTGATGTTGATAATGTTGGAAGCCAGGCTGTCTTTGCTGATTGACCTGGCCAAGCTAATGCTATCGCCAGAACTGGGATCTGCGTCGCTGCTTGCAGTGTGATGGAGAACAAACGGCGTTGGTTGAGAAAGAGGCCTGGAAAAGACAAATGGCTATTAGTGTTTTTTTTTTTTTTTAATTATTGTAATCTGCTAGATATTTATACCAAATTTTTATATCCTATTTCTTGTGGTCCTTCCAGCCCAGGGACACTGAGGCTTTGATTGCCTCTATCACTGTGTCTCTCAACCTGGGGGTCGGGACCCCTGGGGGGTTCGCGAGGGGTTGTCAGAGGGGTCACCAAAGACCACCAGAAAACACAGTATTTTCTGTTGGTCACGGGGGTTGTGTGTGGGAAGTTTGGCCCAATTCTGTCATTGGTGGGATTCAAGGGGCTCTTTGATTGTAGGTGAACTGTAAATCGCAGCAATGACAACTCCCAAATATCAAGGTCCATTTCCCCCAAACTCCACCAGTGTTCACATTTCGGCATATTGAGTATTCATGCCAAGTTTGGTCCAGATCCATCACTGTTTGACTCCACAGTGCTTTCTGTGTGCAGGTGAACTACAACTTCCAAACGCAAGGTCAATGCTCACCAAACCCTTCCAATATTTTCTGTTGGCTGTGGGAATTCTGTGAGTCAAGTCTGGTTCAATTCCATCGTTGGTGGAGTTCAGAATGCTTTTTGATTGTAGGTGAACTATAAATCCCAGAAACTACAACTCCCAAATGGCAAAATCAATCCCCCCCCCCAACCCCACCGGTATTCAAATTTGGGCATATTGGGTATCTGTGCCAAATTTGGTCCAGTGAATGAAAATACATCCTGCAGATCAGATATTTACATGACTATTCATAACAGTAGCCGATTGGACTACTGCAATGCACTCTACGTGGGGCTGCCCTTGAAGACGGCTGGGAAATTTGAGTTGGTCCAACGGGTGGCAGCCAGGTTACTAACTGGAGCGACTTACAGGGAGCTCAACCTCCCTGTTTAAGGAGCTCCATTGGCTGCCGTTCATTTTCCGGTCCCAATTCAAGGTGCAGGCTCTAACCTACAAAGCCTTGAACGGTTTGGGACCCGCCTACCTGCATGACCACATTTCAGTGTACGAACCGACATGCTCTCTTTGATCATCTGGGGAGGCCCTGCTCTCGCTCCCGCCCCTTTCGCAGGCGCGATTGGTGGGGACAAGGGAGAGGGCCTTCTCTGTGGTGGTCCCCCAACTCTGGAACTCACTTCCTAAGGATATCAGGGAAGCCCCCACATTGGCAGTCTTTAGGAGGAGTCTGAAAATGTGGATGTTCCAGTGTCCCTTCCCTGAATAAAGGAAATAATTCCCTGCAAAATGTCCTCAGAAGCACTTTAACTATCCATTGTATTGTTCCCCCTACATTTCCTTTAAACCCCTCCTACTAGATACATCCTACCTACCTCTGTTCATGCCCAGTGTTTATTTTTAAAATTTTAAACTATTACACCTGGCCCAGCCATAGATTTTTAAACCCTTGCGTGTTATTCTCTATATGTTGAGTTACATTAATTGTATTGTTTTATTTGCTTATTGATTGTTGTTTTTATTGATGTGTTGTTGGGCTTGGCCTCATGTAAGCCACTCCGAGTCCCCTTGGGGAGATGGTGGCGAGGTATAAATAAAGATTATTATTATTATTATTATTATTATTATTATTATTAGCAAAACTCCATTTATGGAAGTAGCCATGAAAATAATGTTATGGTTGGGGGTCACCACAACATGAGGAACTGTATTAAGGGGTTGCAACATTAGGAAGGCTGAGTAACATGCTCTAGGGAGTATGATTCTATTATATAAGCCTTACTTTCCGTCTTCCCATCCAAAGTTATACAACATTTCTGAGATTTAAAATTCAGCTTCCCCACAAAACACATATTACCTTTGCTTCTTCTCTGGCCACGCAAGAATTGAATCCCGGGGCTGCCCATCCACTCGAGTCAATGAATTGGAACGGTTCCGCTGGCCTAAAAAAAGGTTATTGCACAAGTTTTTAAAATCACTTTGTTTTAAATATTTTAAAGCTTGCCCTGCTAAAATGTGTCCTAAACAAGACTTCGCCAGTTGAGGGCAGTATAGTGAGTGCTTTAGTAAGGAGTTCAAGCTAATGTCTAATGCAGGGGTCGGGAACCTTTGGCCCTCCAGCTGTGGTGGACTTCAACTCCCACAATTCCTTGAGGCTCGGCATTCGCCCCAAAGGCTTACCTTGGCCCAACGAGGTTTGTTTGGCTCTTTTTCATGGAGGACGGGCAGCAAAGGGGGAGAGACGAGCGTAACGTAGCTGTGCAGATGGCGAGGAAGGATGCGGAGCCCACAGACTGGCCTCGGAGGGAGAGAGCGGGCGGAAACCCCTGCGGGCAACGCGCTTCCTCGCCGCTTCGGCCCTTAGCACCCGCCCCGCATGGACCCCCTCCCTAGCAACGACGCCGGCTGAGTGACGTCGTGCAGAGCTTGTCGGGGAAAAGGGAAGGCGAAGGCTGGAGGGAAAGGGCTCTGCGCTGTTTAAGCGGCGAGGAGGCGCGTTGCCCGCAGGGGTTTCCGCCCACTCTCTCCCTCCGAGGCCAGTCTGTAGGCTCCGCATCCTTCCTCGCCATCTGCACAGCTACGTTACGCTCGTCTCTCCCCCTTTGCTGCCCGTCCTCCATGAAAAAGAGCCAAACAAACCTCGTTGGGCCAAGGTAAGCCTTTGGGGCGAATGCCGAGCCTCAAGGAATTGTGGGAGTTGAAGTCCACCACAGCTGGAGGGCCAAAGGTTCCCGACCCCTGGTCTAATGGCAAATACAAGACTGAATTTACCCTAGTATTTCCGGTAAGGACGATAAATGGGCAAAGTCTTGATATACTGAGCTAAGTACAGCTGGAGTTGATATTCCTCACTCTAATGCACAGCAAAATTTGGCACTCAACAAATAAACAATTTGGAAAGAATGGTTAAGAATAATTTTGCATCAGGATCACACTAAGTAACAGTCTTGAAGAATCCTGTTATTTAAATGCTTTAAATCAGGGGTTCTCAAACTAAGGCCCGCGGATGCGGCCCTCCAAGGTCATTTACTTGGCCACTGGTCTAAACTTTAGACTTAGGGTCACTCCAAGTCTGAAACAACTTCAGGTCACACAACAACAACAACAACCTGAATTAACTTGACTATCTGATCAGCCAAAAACAGACCCACCATTCCCATTGAAATACTGGTTATGTTGATTAAAATTGTTCATCATCATCAGTACAAATAATATATCTGCAGTGTGCATAGGAATTTGTTCATGTTTTTCTCAAAATATAGTCCGGCCTCCCAACAATCTGAGGGACAGTGAACCGGCCCTCTGCTTTAAATGTTTGAGGACCCCTGCTTTAAATAAACAAACAAATAAATAAAAATGTTGTCTCTGAATATCCAGTATTGCAGCCATTAAAATTACATTATAATATTTATAATACTATAATGTAATACAATATAATGTTAATAATAATACAATATTATAATTATATATTTTATATTACATTTAATATTACTAATAATATTACAATATAATGGTATAGTACAATAAAGTCATATATAATTCTGATATTGTATTATGCTAATAGTATAATATATATAATGTAATATAATATAATACTACTACTACTAATAATACAATATTATAATTATATATTTTATATTATATGTAATATTACTAATAATATTACAATATAATGGTATAGTTCAATATAGTCATATATAATTCTGATATTGTACTATGCTTGTAGTATTATAATGTAATATACTACTACTAATAATAATAATACAATATTATAATTATATATTTTATATTACATGTAATATTACTAATAATATTACAATATAATGGTATAGTACAATATAGTCATATATAATTCTGATATTGTACTATGCTAATAATATAATATATATAATGTAATACAATATAATAATACTACTAATAATAATACAATATTATAATTATATATTTTATATTACATGTAATATTACTAATAATATTACAATATAATGGTATAGTACAATATAGTCATATATAATACTGATATTGTACTATGCTAATAATATAATATATTGTATGTATATATATCTTGTAAGCCACTTTGAGTCCACTTTGGGGTGAGAAGGGCGGCATATAAATGTTGTAAATAAATGAATTAAACAAGAGTTTTGTGCATACATGCTACAAAGAAAAGTTCTTCTCTACCTGAACTGTCTTCCCCTTGCAGTGACTTCTGTTGCTTTTGTCTCAATGGCAGCAATGGATGGGCTGGACTGAAGGCAGGGCTTCCTTTCCCACTATTTGGAAAGAAAAACATACAGAAGACCACCCATTAATGCGGGTGAGGGCAGCTGGAAACAATACTATAGTAGGAAAAACACACCATTATCTTTTCCAGCTAGCTTCCAAAACACAGCAATTTTGAAATAGAAAACACGGAAAAGTTGGCACGGTTGATATTGGAAACTTAACACAGCTGTAGTTGCAGCCCGAGATGAACGGCAGTGACCAGGGGAGCATTTGCACAGTTAAAACTCATGCGCCAGCTGCGCCCGTACCTTGGGAAGTCTGATTTGGTCATGGTAGTCCACGCCCTGGTTACATCCCGTATAGATTACTGCAACGCTCTCTACGTGGGGTTGCCTTTGAAGACTGTTCGGAAGCTTCAAATGGTCCAACGGGCGACAACCAGGTTGCTAACAGGTGCTCAGGGAGCATACATCTCTTTTGTTGCACCAACTGCCAATCTGCTTCCGTGCACAATTCAAAGTGCTGGCTTTAGCTTATAAAGCCCTAAACCAGTGCTTCTCAACCTGGGGGTCGAGACCCCGGGGGGGTCATGAGAGGGTGTCAGAGGGGTCGCCAAAGACCATCAGAAAACACAGTTTTTTCTGTTGCTCATGCAAGTTCTGTGTGGGAAGTTTGCCCCAATTCTATCCTTGGTAGGGTTCAAAATGCTCTTTCATTGTAGGTGAACTATAAATCCCAGCAACTACAACTCTCAAATATCAAGGTCTATTTCCCCCAAACTCCACCAGTACTCACATTTGGGCATATTGAGTATTCGTGCCAAGTTTGGTTCAGCTCCATCATTGTTTGAGTTCACGTTGCTCTCTGAATGTAGGTGAACTACAACTCCCAAATTCAAGGTCAATGCCCACCAAACTCTTCCAGTATTTTCTATTGGTCAAGGGAGTTCTGTGTGCCAAGGTGGTTTAATTCCATCATTGGTGAAGTTCAGAATGCTCTTTGATTGTAGGTGAACTATAAATCCTGCCCAACTCCACCAGTAATCAAATTTGGGCATATCGGGTATTTGTACCAAATTTGGTCCAATGAATAAAAATACATCCTGAGTATCAGATATTTACATTATGATTCATAACAGTAGCAAAATTATAGTTATGAGTAGCAACAGAAATAATTTTATGGTTGGGGGTCACCACAACATGAGGAACTGCATTAAGGGGTCGCAGCATTAGGGAGGTTGAGAAACACTGCCCTAAATGGTTTCGGTCCAGCTTACCTATCCAAACATATATCTCCTTACGAACCATCTAGAATGCTAAGATCTACTGGGGAGGCCCGGCTGTCGCTTCCGCTTTCCTCACAGATGTGTCTGGCGGGGACGAGAGGCAGGGCCTTCTCAGTGGTGGCCCCTCAACTGTGGAACGCCCTGCCTAGAGAGATAAGATCGGCCCCCTCCCACCTGTCCTTTCGAAGAATGGTGAAAACCTGGCTTTTCGAACAGGCCTTCCCAAAAATGGCATAGATATATGGACAACTGACGACGCAATGATTTAAGATGGAGATGCTTTGACAATGTTTTTAAATGCTGCATATGATTTTTATGCTTTTATATTGCTGTTAGTATTTTAAAGTACCATATATACTTGAGATTAAGCCGACCCGAATATAAGCCGAGGCACCCAATTTTACCACAAAAAACTGGGAAAACTGATTGACTCAAGTATAAGCTGAGAGTATGAAATGCAGCAGCTACGGGTAAATTTCAAAATAAAAATAGATACCAATAAAATTACGTTAATTGAGACATCAGGAGGTTAAATGTTTTTGAATATTTACATAAAACTGTAATTTAAGATTAGACTGCCCAACTCTGATTAAACCATTATTCTAAGCTTCTTCAATGTAAATGTGCTTAAGTATCCCTCCAATTATTTATTTACAATATTTGTATCCCGCCCATATCAGCCTGAAGGTGACTCATAATAATAATAATAAAGAGAGAAAAATTATAGTTGTTATGATAATAATAATAATAATCATCATCATCATCATAGAGTAAAATAAGGGAAACATAATAATAACAACATTAATAATAGAGTAAAATAATAAATGTAATAATAACAATAATAAAGTAAAATAATAAATGTAATAATAACAATAATAAAGTAAAATAATAAATATAAAATAGGAGTAAAATGATAAATGTAATAATAATAATAATAATAATAATAAATAGAGTAAAATAATAAATGTAAAATAAAATAAAATAAAATAAAATAAAATAAAATAAAATAATAATAATAATAATAATAATAATAGAATAAAATAATAAATAACCTTGACTCGAGTATAAGCCAAGGCGGACTTTTTCAGCCTACAAAAAGGGTTGAAAAACTAGGCTTATACTCGAGTATATACAGTATTTATGACTGTTTTAATTTGTTGTAACTGCTCTGGCATCAAATTGTTGCCTATTGTTAACCTCTCCAAGTCGCCCTTGGGCTGAGAGGGGTGGTATATAAATGTAGTATATAAATAAATACATAAACAGATCATGCTCACGTTAATGAAACATGTCGTCTTAAAAGGATCTCATACTTAAATTAAAAAGAAAAGAACTAGGACAAGTGAGAAGAGTGAATAATAGCACGGGTCTCAAGAGCTCTTTTCAAAAAAAGTAATTACCACAGCCAGTCTAGGACAATCTACGCAACTGGAGAACGAAAGCCGTCTTGAAATGTAATGCCAGACAAGCTCACAAAGATTGAGACAGAAGTGACTAACACCAGCAGTTGAATCCAGCAAATGTCACAGCCAGCTCATGCTCAGAAAATGACAAGTGAATAAAACTTTTACAGATGAAGACCAGCAGAAAAAGGCACTGTTTGAATAAGAAAGGCGGCAAAGAAAGGGATGGATGGGTTGCTGTAGGGGCATGTTCTAGAAGCATTCTCTCCTGACGTTTCACCCACATCTATGGCAGGCATCCTCGGAGATTGTGGGATCTGTTGGAAACTAGGCAAGTGGAGTTTATGTATCTGTGGAATGATGTCCAGGGTGGGAGAAAGAACTCTTATCTGTATGAGACAAGTGGGAATGTTGTCATTGATCGCCTTGATTAGCATAAAATAGCATTGCAGCTTCAATGCTTGGCTTCTTACTGCCTGGGAGTCCTTAGTTGGGAGGTGTCAGATGGTCCTGATTGTTTCTTGTCTGGAATTCCCCTGTTTTGAGTGTTGTTCTTTATTTACAAGTATTTACAGACCCACTAAGAAAATCTAACAAATGCAAAGGACAAGAGGGATGCTCTCACCTCTGTTTTCAGAATAAACAATAACACACTGCAAACAGGGGATTTCCAGACATGAAACAATCAGGGCCAGCTAGCACCTCCGAACAAAGAATTCCCTCAGGCAGGAAGAAGCCAGGCTTTGAATCTGCAAGACCATGGTATATGGTAGACCTCCTGAAGAGTTGAACATAGAATTTGGTGAATTTTTATGGGCCTCTAGATAATCTGTAGGTTGTGTTTCTTCATCAGCTTCCTTATGAGGTCAGTACCTCAAACAGACAAGAGTTCCTTCTCCCACCATGGACATTCCAAAGATTTATAAACTCCACTTGCTTAATTTCAACAGACCTCACACTTCTGAGGACGCCTGCCATAGATGTGGGCGAAATGTCAGGAGAGAATACTTCTGGGACATGGCCATACAGCCCAGAAAACTCAGCAACCCAGTCCACAAACTGCTTCCTTATTTTTAGAGCTGCTGTACAAAATTTAGCCTCTCTATACGATCCCCTAAAAGATGCTTTAATAGACCTTGACATTTGGGAGTTGTAGTTGCTGGGATTTATAGTTCACCTACAATCAAAGAGCATTCTGAACCCTAACAATGATAGAATTGGGCCAAACTTCCCATACAGAACCCCCACGATCAACAGAAAATACTTTGTTTTCTGGTGGTCTTTGGCGACCCCTCTGACACCCACTTGCGACCCACCCAGGGGTCCCAACCCCCAGACTGAAAAACGCTGCTTTAGATAATATTCTGCCAGGAATCTTCTGTACAATCTATATAAATAAAAATGTAATGTTCGTTTGTGGGATTAACATAACTCAAAAACCACTGGACAAATTGCCGCCAAATTTGGCCAAAAGACACCTACTAACCCAAGGAGTGACCATCACTCAAAAAAAATTGGTTTTGTCATTTGGGAGTTGTAGTTGCTGGCATTTATAGTTTACCTACAATCAAAGAGCATTCTAAATTCCACCAATGATGGAATTGGGCCAAACTTAGCAAACTGCCATGACCAACAGAAAACAATAGAAGGGTTTGGTGGGCACTGACCTTGAGTTTGGGAGTTGTAGTTCACCTACGTCCACCTACTGTGGACTCAAACAATGATGGATCTGGACCAAACCTAGCACGAATACTCCATATGCCCAAATACGAACACAGATGGAGTTTGAGGGAAATAGACCTTGACATTTGGGAGTTGTAGTTACTGGGATTTGGGGGAAATGGAAGGAAAAAGGAAGAGATGGATGGATGGCATCCTTGAAGTGACTGGCTTGATCTTGAAGGAGCTGGGGGTGGTGACGGCCGACAGGGAGCTCTGGCGTGGGCTGGTTCATGAGGTCATGAAGAGTCGGAAGCGACTGAGCATTCTGAACCCCACCAGTGACAGAATTGGGGCAAACTTCCCACACAGAACCCCCATGACCAACAGAAAATACTTAAGACCATCCAGTCCAACTCCCTTCACCAGGGCAAGAAAACATAATCAAAGCCCTCCTGACAAAGAGCCATCCAGCCACAGATATAGATCGATATATATGATTTACACATAGAGAGATATAGTATCCAAGATTTGAAAGGGACCCCTAAAGAAGGACAATGATATGTTGCATGTTCCAGAGTAGGCAAAACAAACAATCTCCACATCAACACTGACAAAGAAACAGCAAGACATACTGTTTACCCACAAGTATAAAGAAATTTACATATATTGGAAACCAAAACTTTCTCATTACTTTATTTTCCAGATCACTACACTGGGCCACAGCAACACCTGGCAGAGGATGGCTAGTGGGAGTAATAAAAACAGACTGAATATTCTTATAGAAATGACATTGTAAAAGGACCTGCCTAGCGGTTTCCACTCTCTCCCAATCTGATAGCAGCCTGAAAAGCTGCAACTAGTCACTCCAGAAAACACAGAACAGCACACAGACTAACTACTGGCGACAGTGCCAAACCACAGCACAGGAAGCAAAGTCGACCGTGGAGATCGAAAGACAAACTTACAGAGACGTAAATCCTTCAAGATGCAGGTAATACCTGTTGCACGTTTCCAAAGGGAGCTGAGCTGGAGGTTGCACGTCGCCTGAACCGGAAGCAGCTGGACTAGCCATGAAGCTTCGTTTGGTTGCGTTGGAAATAGGAATGGGTGGGCGGCTGCTCTTCTGCTGTAACATTGTTTTAGCTAAATATCAATTTATACCATTAGTGTCAGTTTTAAAGCAACAATCAACAACCCTAAACAGGAGTTTTCAAAGCGTAATTTGTTACAACGGTTAAAAAACAAAACCCAAACACAGAAAGTTTAAAAGGAAATGTAATCAAAAATATTTTAACAAGTAGGATACATACATCAAAACAGTCTTTAGGAGGAGCTTGAAGATGTGGTTGTTCCAGTGTGCCTTCCCAGAATAATGATCCCATAGCACTTTGTCCTCCAAAGCACTTTATATTGTTTTAGGTCTGCTTGTAAGTTTCCACAAACGCCCCATCACTTTTTCGCCCATATCCAGCATTATTTTTTAATTTTTAAATTACATTCGGCCTACCCATAGTTTTTAAAGTGTGTTGTCCTACTGTTAATGCTTATGTTATTGATAATGCTCATGTAAGCCACACCGAGTCCCTTGGGGAGATGGTAGCAGGGTATAAAGGTGATTATTATTATTATTATTATTATTATTATTAATTATTCAGAAACCCTGTAACAAGTCGACATTAAGGTAAGGAGATGACACTAAATGTCAACACACAAATAAAAAATAGACTGTAAAAATAATAATCAATTCCCATGTGTTAAGGCTAAGCAGCAGGTCTGGAGAACTTTCAAAACCACAGAAAACACACAAAACAGACCTGGTCCAGAGAATACAACCAACTGCTTCTCAGCAAATCACACTGAAATGACATATTCTTATGCAGTGGATTGTTGTAGGTTTTTTCGGGCTATATGGCCATGTTCTAGAGGCATTTTCTCCTGACGTTTCGCCTGCATCTATGGCAAGCATCCTCAGAGGTTGCTCACTATCTCTGAGGATGCTTGCCATAGATGCAGGTGAAACGTCAGGAAAAAATGCCTCTAGAACATGGCCATATAGCCCGAAAAAACCTACAACAACCCAGTGATTCCAGCCATGAAAGCTTTCGACAATACATTATTCTTATACAGTTCCTGCTTAACAAGTTATCGTTAAGCAGGGAGAACCTTTTGGTGGATTGTACTTTCTGTTAATTCATGGAATAATTAGAGCTGGGGCTGTGTTTTTCTATCTGTTATTGTGAGAAATGGGGTCAAACAGCTAATAAATATCTATTTTGCAGCCTGGGATTCTTTATTATTATTATTGTAGTATTATTATTATCTATATAAATAAAAATGTAATGTTTGTTTGTGGGATTAACATAACTCGAAAACCACTGGATGAATTGACACCAAATTTGGACACAAGACACCTATTAGGCCAACGAGTGACCATTACTCATAAAAACACCGAAAAACACAGAAGAGACTTAAAAAGCCAAAAAACCAAAATTACATTACAACACATGTACAAAATCACATACATACACAAATATATACACACACATAAACACACACAAAACACATATACAGACTGGGCCACAGTAACACATGGCAGGGGACAGCTAGGTATAAATAAAAATGTAATGTTCATTTGTGGGATTAACATAACTCAGAAATCACTGAACGAATTGACACCAAATTCAGTCAACAAGTGACCACCACTCATAAAGAACACTGAAAAACACACCAGAAGAGACTTAAAAGCAAAAAAACAAAACAAAACATGACAATGCATTCACAAAACCACACACACACACACACATGCAACCACACACATATACACGCACACACACAAAACACATATACACAGACTGGGCCATAGCAACGTGTGGCAGGGGACGGCTAGTTAATAATAATATTCCACTTTTTCTCTCCAAAAAAGAGACTCAAAGTGGCTGCTTCCACTTTGAAATACCAGAAGACAGTTGGGTTACTGTGAGTTTTCCAGGCTATATGGCCATGTTCCAGAAGCATTCTCTCCTGACATTTCGCCCACATCTATGGAGGGCATCCTCAGAGGTTGTGAGGTCTGTTCGAAGCTAGGCAAGTGGGGTTTATATATCTGTGGAATGTCCAGGGTGGGAGAAAGTTGTTTGTTGGAGGCAAGTGTTCATGTTGCAATTGGCCACTTTTGATTAGCACTGAATAGCCTGGCAGCTTCAAAGCCTGGCTGCTTCCTGCCTGGGGGAATGTTGGGAAGTGTTAGATGTGATGTTTTATATGTTTTAATGTGTTTTAAATGTCCAGGGTGGGAGAAAGTACTGTTGGAGGAAAGTGTGAATGTTGCAATTGGCCACTTTGATTAGCACTGAATAGCCTGGCAGCTTCGAAGTCTGGTTGTATACTATAAGAGAAGGGTTTTTGGCTCTTCTCTGAAAGGTTATGCTTTTTAAAGAAGTTAAAATTTCCAAAAGCTTTAGGTTTTAAAATAAGTTCTTTCTCCTTTGGTAGCTTTGTATGCTAGATTTTAAAATTCATTCTTAGGGAAATCTATTGATAAAATCCCAAAGTTCTGCTAGAACATTTTGTGGACCAGATCCTTAAAACTGAGGCTACAGCAGTTGAAATCTCTCACCATCTTTCACTTCTTGCAAGTCCCTGGGCTGTACAAAGTCCGGCTTGACGATCTCAAACCACCAGAACAACTCGGCGATGAAGACCATAACGTTGGGCTGGAAAACGGGAAAAGTTAACATGAGTAGGCCATTGGCACATCATTTCAAAATGGCGTCTTCCATTCGCGGGTCTTACCTTTAACACTAAAGGTGCGTAGAGCATGTCTTCCAAAGTGAGGTAAAAACATTTGTTGAGATATTCGTTAGAGAATTCCCGAAGCAGCTGGATGTTATAGACACTATCAGCAATTGACGTCACCTCCTTCAGGCAGATTTCTAAAGGAGGGGAGGGAAGGGGAAAGGTAAGTATCACAAGAAATTAACACTAGTTATCCTACAACAGGAAATTGTTAACCATACCAGCAGGGATTTGAAATAGCCAGCACTATTCATAAAAGGTTTTCATGGCCCGAATCACTGGGTTGCAGTGAGTTTTCTGGAGTATTTGGACATGTTCCAATTGTTGCAATTTATTTATTTATTTATTTACGATATTTATATGCCGCCCTTCTCACCCCGAAGGGGACTCAGAGCGGCTTACAAGTAAAAAGTAAATACAATATATTATATTATTACCATAGCACAATATTAATATTATATATTATATTGCACTGTAATATTACTAGTAATATTACTTTTAATATAAAATATATAATTATAATATATTATTAGTAGTATTATTATATTGTATTACATTATAATATTGTCAATATTATATGTATATACAATATATTATATCATATCATATCATATTATAAGCACAGTGCAGGAGACAAGATGGAACTGCCTTCCTGGTCCTCTCTTGACTCTGATCTCAGAGCAGCGGTTGGTGCTGGGGAGGGGGGGGGGCTCCCAACTGATGACACTGGAGGCAAGATGGAATTGCCTTCATGGCTCCTCTCTTCATTGGCCATCTTGATTAGCATTGAATAGCCTAGCAGCTTCAAAGCCTGGCTGCTTCCTGCCTGGGGGAATCCTTTGTTCGGTGGTGTTAGCTGGCCCTGATTGTTTCCTGTCTGTTACCTTCCCATCAGAGCAGTACCTATTGATCTACGCCCATTTGCATGTTTTCGAACTGCTAGGTTGGCAGAAGCTGGGGCTTCTCAGCAGCTCAGCGCTTTAACCAACTGCGCCATAGGAGGTTAAAGTAAGGAGCGCACAAGTAATTAATTAATTGAAAACATTTATATTCCGCCCTTCTCACCCCGAACGGGACTCAGGGCGGAGCACAGCATATATATGGCAAACATTCAATGCCGGGACACAAATTCATATACGCATATATAAACATTAAAAACATTTATCTCAATACTTAAATACACAATTTAAAACCATCCTAGTCATCAGCGTCAAATCTAATTGGCCTGGTAATCTTTCCTATTGCTGCTTTATTAAACAGGAAATAACACCGTCAAACCAGGAATAGAATTTTTTTCTAATTTTGTTACATAGTGCAATTATCTATATAAATAAAAATGTAATGTTAGTTTGTGGGATTAACAGAACTCAAAAACTATTGGACGAATTGACACCAAATTTGGACACCATACTCCTATCAGGCCAATTATTATTATTATTATTATTATTATTATTATTATTATTAACTTTATTTGTACCTCGCTAGCATCTCCCGAAGGACTCAATGCAACTTACAAAGGCCAAGGCCACAATAAAACAACAATATAACAATTACAATTACAATGAGTGACCATCACTCATAAAAACACTGAAAAACACAGCAAGAAGAGACTTAAAAGCAACCCCCCCAAAAAAAAAACATTACAACGCATGTGCAAAACCACATAAATAAATGCAAACACACCCAACCAAAGTTAATCACTTTTGTCTCATTTACTTCTATCGGTGAGACATTTAAGCCTGTACTTAAGCATCTCTCAATGCACTCATCCAAACTGAAGCACATATACACACATAAACACATATATACACACAAAACATATATGTACACATACTGGGCCACAGCAACGCATGGCAGGGGGTGGCTAGTAAAAATATTTAAAAAACCCAAGGTTTGACCCAACTATTGTCTCATTTACTTCTATCGGTGAGACATTTAAGCCTGTACTTAAGCATCTCTCAATGCACTCATCCGAACTGAAGCAATTGATTTTGGTGGCATCACACCCCCTGAAACAAGATTGGATTATAACAGGTACCACTGTCAAATGCTGCTTCCAAAATTACTTTGATAGTCCTTAGCATCCTATTGAAACAGTTTAAAAAGTAGGTCACTTTGAAAAAGAAAAGAAAAATGCTTCTCCACATACCATCTAGCTTCATTTGTTCGGGGCAATAGTAATGGATTACAGCCAGCAAAGCAGCCCCATCGCTGCAGTCCTTCATCAGATCTTCAAGCAGCGGGAAAAATGGCAACTGCCGGCTCGAAAGGTGATCCCGGCGATAACGGACCTGACAGAGGAAGACAATTTCTCGTCACTGTAGGAACTACGTTACCAAGTCTTAATTACCATTTTAGTTGGTTAAACTGTATTTTCACATCTAGCTGGAATACAGTTTTTGGTTCAAGCAGCTTTCACTATCAGCCTGCTAATCTTGGGGCAACTTTCCCAACCACCCATGCCACCTGGTTTAACTAAAAGCTCTTCAAAGAACCAGAGAAGCCTTTATCCAGAAAGACAATGCAGCAAATATAAAGTCTGAGATGCACAAAGAAATCCACCTGCAAACAGGAATAACTTTCTATTTTTATTATCTGACTATATCTGACTGTCTTTGAGAATCAACATAAATCTGTACACAAATACATATACCGAATATACTCAAGTATAAGCCGGCCCAAATATAAGCTGAGACACCTAATATTACCAGAAAATAACTGGGAAAACGTATTGACTTGAGTATAAGCCGAGGGTGGGAAATGCAGCAGTTAGTAGTAAATTTCAAAATAAATATAGTTAGCAATACAATTACATTAATTGAGGCATCAGGAGGTTCAGTGTTTTTGAATATTTACATAAAACTGTAATTTAAAATAAGACTGCCAAACTCTGAATAAATCATTATTCTATTCTTCTTCAGTGCAAATGTGCTTATGTATCCTTCCGATAATAATAAAGACAGTAAAATAATGAATGTAATAACAACTATAATAATAGAGTAAAATAATTAAAAAAGTAAAATTATAAATATAATAATACGGTAAAATAATAAATGGTTGTTGTAGGTTTTTTCGGGCTATATGGCCATGTTCTAAAGGCATTCTCTCCTAACGTTTCGCCTGCATCTATGGCAAGCATCCTCAGAGGTACTAGGAAAATTGGTTTATATATCTGTGGAATAACCAGGGTGGAACAACGAACTCTTGTCTGTTGGAGCTAGGTATGAATGTTTCAACTGACCACCTTGATTAGCATTTAAGGGCCTGGCAGTGCATGGGGCAATCTTTTGTTGAGGGGTCCTTGATTGTTTCCTCTCTGTTGTTTTGCTGTTGTAATTTTAGAATAAATGTAATATTATAATAATAAAGTAAAATAATAATAATAAATTAGAATAATAAATTTAATAACAGTATTAAGATTAAAACAATAAATGTTTTAATCTTATTGGACTGGATGGCCCATGAGGTCTCTTCCAACTCTATGATTCTATAATAATAAATAGAGTAAAATAATAAATTTAATAATAATATTAATAATAATAGAGTAAAATACTAAAAATAATAACAATAACAGTAAAATAATAAATAACCTTTACTCAAGTATAAGCCATGGGGGACTTTTTCAGCCTAAAAAAAGTATATGCGGTATATGTAGTAAATGTAGTATAGATACCAACTTTCAGGCCAAATCAGCATATGCTTTAAGCAGAAAAGGACATAGATGGCTAGTAATTAAACCTAAGTAGATTTACTGGGTAAACATAACACTTCAGTAAACCCTTTACTCACTTTAGTTCAGAATACCACAATCTATTATGAAAGCTGCTACAGTTAGTGCACAATATCAGACAGATGCAACTGACAATCTGAGCTACATAGCACAAAAAGCAGCGCAATGAGTAAAAACAATCTTAAATATATGACTGAACTGAGCCCATATTCATTCGATAAATCACATCTGACTAATACTTACCTGGAGATAAACACCACTAGACTAAAAATGATCAACTAGCTAACCAGCTATGTAAGGCCACATCTAGGTATGAAACATGTATATATTTGAGGAAAGCTCACGCCGAGGAGTTGGTTATGCAAATAAGCAAGTTTGGAGTTGATTGCAAATTAATTTTGAATTGGGAAGGTTCGTTTATGGTGACCCATGCAGAAGAAGTACAGAGTTTTGCCCAATTTTGAAATATAGAGATGATATGTTTGATTAAAGGACATCATAGGAAAAAAATTAATTGGGAAGTTTGATAATGTAAGATGAAGGCTGTTTATCCTCCAGCTTGAAGCTCTCCATAAATACGTAATGTAATGTGAATCATACTGTACCACACGAGCATATTCCACTGGCTCCAGCATGCAGTGCGATAGCGCATGCATCAGATCAGGCTTTTGCAACAAAACAGCAAGATACAAGACGGCAATCAGAATCATGTTAATACATTCAAAAGGGCTAATACCCCTTATATCTCAAAACATGATTATTTGAGTCAAGGTGATTACCATACAAAGCAAGGTGATCTGATTAGTTTAAAGCCTACCCTCCACTTAATATCCTCCCCACTTCTGAAACTGATGCAACAAAAGGAAAACCCCTGCAAAAAATCTTTCAAAATCATGGATTTTGGTTTATCAAATAATGTCATTGTACTGTCAGCTAAACTCCATACAGTGCAAGAACCACTGCATTCCTAACTACAATCAACAATCAACATTCCTAGAACAGGTCAGAGCAACATTTTTTGAAGTCTTGTATTCCGTCACCTACTACTAACTACTAGGCATTTTAAGACACTTGCCAATGGAAATCCAAAGCACTAATGACTAAGACGGGCTCTACAATGCCTCCGGAAGTGAATCACAAAACACTGATTTGAAACACCCAATGACAAATCTTAATTGGCCCTCCACGTTTGTGAATTTGATTATTCACAGATTCTCTCTAGGAATCTCCAGAGCAGTGGTTCCCAAGCTGTGGTCCGTGGACCAACAGTGGTCCACAAGAACAAAAATATGGTCCGCCTCCTCACCATTACTACACCGTAGGGCAGTGTTTCTCAACCTGGGGGTCGGGACCCCTGGGGGGGGGTCGTGAGGGGGTGTCAGAGGGGTCGCCAAATCGCATCAGAAAGCACAGTATTTTCTGTATTGTCAAAGGCTTTCATGGCCGGAATCACTGGGTTGTTGTAGGTTTTTTCGGGCTATATGGTCTAGAGGCATTCTCTCCTGGCGTTTCGCCTACATCTATGGCAAGCATCCTCAGAAGTAGTGAGGTCTACCACTGAGGATGCTTGCCATAGATGCAGGCGAAACGTCAGGAGAGAATGCCTCTAGACCATGGCCATATAGCCCGAAAAAACCTACAACAACACAGTATTTTCTGTTGGTCATGGGAATTCTGTGTGGGAAGTTTGGCCCAATTCTATCGTTGGTGGGGTTCACAAAACGACAAATCCCAGCAACTATAACTCCCAAATGTCAAGGTCTATTTTTCCCAAACTCCACCAGTGTTCACATTTGGGCATATGGAGTATTTGTGCCAAGTTTGCTAAAGATCCATCATTGTTTGAGTCAACATTGCTCCCTGGATGTAGGTGAACTACAAATCCCAAACTCAAGGTCAATGCCCACCAAACCCTTCCAGTATTTTCTGTTGGTTATTGGAGTTCTGTGTGCCAAGTTTGGTTTGATTCCACCGTTGGTAGAATTCAGAATGCTCTCTGATTGTAGGAGAACTATCAATCTCAGCAAGTACAACACCCAAATGACAAAATCAACCCCCGCCCCAACCCCATCAGTATTCAAATGTGGGAGTATTTGTGCCAAATTTGATCCAGTAAGTGAAAATACATCCTGCATATCAAATATTTACATGACAATTCATAACAGTAGCAAAATTACAGTTATGAAGTAGCAACAAAAATAATGTTATGGTTGGGGGTCACCACAACATAAGGAACTATATTAAGGGGTTGCGGCATTAGGAAGGTTGACAAACACTGCCGTAGGGAGCTGCCGGTGGTGCAGTGGGTTAAACCCCTGCACCAGCAGAACTGAAGACTGACAAGTCGCAGGTTCGAATCCAGGGAGAGCACGGATGAGCTCTCTCTATCAGCTCCAGCTCCTCATGCGGCGACATGAGAGAAGCCTCCCACAAGGATGATAAAACATCAAAACATACGGGCGTCCACTGGGCAATATCCTTGCAGACAGCCAATTGTCTCACACCAGAAGTGACTTGCAATTTCTCAAGTCACTCCTGACACGACAAAAAAGAAAGAAAAAGAAAAAACTACATTATTGCCTCAAAACCACGCAGCAACAAGAACAACTGGTCTCACAAAACTCTCTTATAGTCCTGATGTCAGTAGGGGAGAGGCTGACTACCCAAATCAGCTCTATATTATTAAATATGGTTTTCTCTGGGAAAGTAGATGGCGACTACCGAGTGGCATATGTTCTATGTCAGAAACTAGAGCTGATGTGGTCTACCCAATGCAATTCTCTGAATCAGCACCCAAAACAACCAAGCCTAATCTAAACTTGACCAAAAATTTTTTGTAAGCCTTTTGGTACTAATGTTCCTGGTCAAGTGGTCCCTGGTCAAAAAAAGGTTGGGAATCACTGATCTAAATCCATTGTACAAAATCTACTGGATAAAAATGTAAGACAACCCCTCTTGCAATCTATCTCCAAAAAAAGATGCAAATACCATTACTTTAAACTGACCAGCTTCACCTTAGCGCTGCACGAACAAAGTTTTTGACTGTGTTTTCCTTGCTCTTCCATCTCCAGATTTTGCCTATCAACAATTCTGAAAATGCTGTGTAGTGATGACTATGCTGTATGTACAGTATGCAGAACCATGTAAATGAAATCTACATTTTCTGAAGGCAAAGAGATTCTCGCAAGTTGTGAAAGCAGCATTGCAAATGGAAGCAAACACCAAGAAAAGAATAATCGAAAGCCATGGATTTGTGGATGACAACTGTTGTGTAGAATTAATTAACTTACAGGTACTAATTTCCAATACCATTTGGAAGGAGACTGCTCAGGAAGCAGGGAAGGGAATGTGGGAACAGGAGAGGAATATCAGCAGAGCGAGTTATAAGCAATACCAAAACAAACTCAACTGACAGACACTTTCATATCGTGGAATAATTTTGATATAGAAATATTAAAAATACATTGTCCAGAACCAAATCAAGCAATCTCACACCAGTACCATATTACGCCATTGAATAGGCGCCAATTAGAACTTAGGCAACAGCATTTTGATTTACTGATGCGCAACTGTACTATTGTGTTAATTCTTACAAAAGAAATCAGGCCACGTTTGAAGTCAGTGATGTTTGAGAAAATCGTACATTTTCCAGTAATGAAAGTGTAACATTTCTTCACAATATTAGTTCACTGGAATAGTTATGGGGGAGGAAATAGGAGGGCAGTTGCACACATTCACTGCTAATCCTTCTGGATGACTAGTACATGCTTCATTAGTATTTATCACAAATTCCTCAGAAATATGACCCAGAAAAAAAATTCAGAATAAATGCTGAAAATGGCCTATTAATTCCATAGTTGCTTCAAACCCAAATAAGCAGGATTCAAATGATAAAACAAGCCATAGCAGTGACATTTTAACCCACGGAAACTATGGAGAAAAGAAAGCAGCTCTAATCCAATGTATCAGAGCAGACTCCAGTCACCAGCCTCTCCATTCAACTTGAAACAGGGATACGGATGCAAGAAGGAATAAAAAAGCTCTCGAGAACATGAAATTGCTAAGGTCAGAAAGATCAAGGGAAAGAATAGGAACCTAGGAACATCACATTCAAGGAAATTTATCGGGGCATTGTGAATACTGGAATCCTTAACATGCTTAGGGAGAAACAAGCTTAACAGGAAGATTCACATCCAGCTAACGTCATATTTCTACGAGTTCTTACCTTTTGATGACCCGGACTTTCAAGCAATTGCTGCTTCAGTTTGATCTCCTTCTCTGTTATCTCTCTCATCTTTAGGTTCACCTAAAGGTGGGAAAGGGGGTAAAGAATGCCATTATTTTCCCTACAAATCTTTATATGGCTTACATTTGCTGCCGGTTGGTTTCATTCCACCAGTTATGCTTCCCTACCTCTGCACTCAAAATATCGAGGTGTAGTTAAAGAGACTATCCAGCAAAAGTGATACAGTTTTAATTTATTATTTACTAGCTGAACCCCTGCCACGCGTTGCTGTGGCCCACTCTGGTGGTCATGGAGGTTCTGTGTGGGAGGTTTGGCCCAATTCTATCATTGGTGGGGTTCAGAATGCTCTTGTGATTGTAGGTAAACTACAAATCCCAGCAACTACAACTCCCAAATGTCAAGATTTTATTTTCCCCAAACTCCACGAGTGTTGTCGGTCCTGCCTTTGTCACATGTATGGCTGGCAGGGACGAGAGACAGGGCCTTCTCAGTGGTGGCCCCTCGGCTATGGAATGCTCTACCTAAGGATATCAGATCGGCCCCCTCCCTTCTAACATTTTGAAAGAGAGTTAAGACTTGGCTTTTCGAACAGGCATTTCCAAATACAGTGTAACAGACATAGGAAAATGGAATGGTTGGACGATGATATTGGACCCTAATGTTCATGTTTTTACTGATTTTGTCATGTTTTTATTACTCGACTACCTGTCTCCTGCCACGCGTTGCTGTGGCCCACATGGGGGTTCTGTGTGGGAGGTTTGGCCCAATTCTATCGTTGGTGGGGTTCAGAATGCTCTGTGATTGTAGGTGAACTATAAATCCCAGCAACTACAACTCCCAAATGTCAAGATTCTATTTTCCCCAAACTGCACCGGTGTTAACATTTGGGCATATTGGGTATTAGTGTAAAGTTTGGTTTTGATCCAGATCCATCATTGTTTGAGTCCACAGTGCTCTCTGGATGTAGGTGAACTACAACTCCAAAACCAAAGGTCACTGCCCACCAAACCCTTACAGTATTTTCAGTTGGTCATGGGAGAACTGTGTGCCATGTTTGGTTCAATTCCATTGTTCAGAATGCTCTTTGATTGTAGGTGAACTATAAATCCCAGCAACTACAACTCCCAAATGACAAAATCAATACATTGGGTTGTTAGGTGTCTTGTGTCCAAATTTGGTGTCAATTCGTCCAGTGGTTTTTGAGTTCTGTTAATCCCACAAACAAACATTACATTTTTATTTATATAGATTTCGGGTTTTTCTACCCCATCTCTTCTCTACCCCTGAAGGGGGACTCAGGACGGCTTACATTAGGCAACGATTCAATGCCGCTTCATATAAAAAATTACAATAATACAACACAATTAAAATATAAATATTAATTAAAACAGTACATAAACATAAATTAAAACAATAATACAATATCATCAGCTATATCATCATTCCAGTCAATTTCCAACCAAAGTGCTAATTAAGTCTGCTGTCCGAAAGCCTGGTCCCACAACCACAATTTCACTTTCTTCCTGAAAGCCAGGAGGGATGAGGCCAATCTTATCTCCTTTGGAACGGCGTTTCACAGATGGGGGCCACAGCTGAGAAGGTCCTGTCTCTCATCCCGGTCAAACGCGTTTGTGATGTAGGCGGGAGCGAGAGCAGGACCTCCCCGGATCATCTTAAATTACGAGGTGGGACGTAGAGGCAGATTTCCATTATGAGATAAGCATACTTTTAGACTTCCCCCTTGAAATCAAAAGCGCTTTAAACTTCTTAACTTTGATGGGATCATATCCTGAGTATAATCCTTTTAGAGTACAAAAGTAGGAGGAAAAAATCTGTATCTGAATGATAAATACTTTTAGAGCTGAAAATCTGAACTGAGTTCTTTCGTTACCACCAGCTATATTTGGAATGAAAGCTTCAGAGACATTGCAACTATATTTCCCTACGCAACATATTATTTTGAACTGAATTATTCAAGATCTATGCTCACATGAACTCCGCAATGCTCAAGCTCTCCAGTGACAATTATGAAAAAAAAAAAAAACCCCGCTGCACAAAAAAATACCCGCAGACCTAAATATTGATTTCTATTGATTACTTTCCCAACAGTGACTTCCAATGTGTTCTCAAAAATTAAGGTTAATATCTCTGGTTCAAAGATGAAGTACTTTGGCCACATAATGAGAAGACAGGAAAGCTTGGAGAAGACAGTGATGCTGGGGAAAATTGAAGGAAAAAGGAAGAGGGGCCGACCAAGGGCAAGATGGATGGACGGGATCCTTGAAGAGCCTGGCTTGTCCTTGAAGGAGCTGGGGGTGGTGACGGCCAACAGGGAGCTCTGGCGTGGGCTCGTCCATGAGGTCACAAAGAGTAGGAAATGACTGAACGAATGAACAACAATCTCTGGCTCTATTTACATTTTTTGTAAAAGTAAAAATCTAAGAAATCTGGCTACCAATATTTTAAAAACTCTAAAATTAGGACAGGAAATAAAGAACAACACTCAGAAAACAGGGGAATTCCAGACATGAAACAATCGGGGTCAGCTAATACCTCCCAACAAAGGATGCTCCAGGCAGGAATTAACCAGGCCTTGAAGTTGCAAGGCTTTGCAATGCTAATCAAGGTGATTAGTTGCAACATTCACACTTGCCTCCAAGAGACAAGAGTTCTTCTCCCACTCTGGACCTTCCACAGATATATAAATCTCCCTTGCTTAGTTTCCAACAGACCTCACAATCTCTGAGGATCCCAAGCATCAACAGAAAGGAAGAAACATGAAACACAAAATCTGGCTACCAGTATTTTTTAAAACTCCAAAATCAGGACAGTAAATAAAGAATAACACTCAAAAAACAAAGGAATTCCTGACATGAAACAATCAGGGCCAGTTAATACCTCCCTAAAATGATTTCCCCGTGCAGGAAGCAGCCAGGCTTTGAAGCTGCAAGACCATTCAATGCTAATCAAGGTGGCCAGTTGCAACATTCACACTTGCCTCCAAGAGTTCTTCCTCCGACCCTGGACCTTCCACAGATATATAAACCTCCCCTTCTTAGTTTCCAACAGACTTCACAATCTCTGAGGATGCCTGCCATAGATGTGGGCGAAATGTCAGGAGAGAATGCTTCTGGAACATGACCAGACAGCCCAGAAAACTCACAGCAACCCTCTAAGAAATCCATTTTTCATACTACTGAGCACAATTAAGCTATTCCTGAACAACAACAACAATAATAATAATAATAATAATAATAATAATAATAATCTTTATTTCTACCCCGCCACCATCTCCCCGATGGGGACTCGGAGCAGCTTACATGGGCCAAGCCCAGACAACATAATACAGCAATAAAATCAAAACATATACAGCAAACAACAACAACCTCATCAAAATAACATTAAAAGAGAAAAAAATCATAAGATAAACATTCCAATAAACACAATCATAGTAAGGATACCTGTTCAATAACGTTTGATGGTTTCAAAACCAATTCATGAAATAAAAACCAATAGTTAGGAAAAATGTAATCATTCCTAAGAAACAAGTGGAGTAGGCCTTAGTCCTTATCCGCTTCTTTTGAGCTTTCCATAAGCATGAGGTAGGCTTATGTTCCTACAAACCAGAAAACAAAAGTATTGCTGAAATCTTTATTGAAGCGGAACATCTCTAAAAGATGGCAAAACCCTTCAATACACCAATGGTCACTGAACCCCTTTCCTCTAGTTCATCCTTTTCACTTCCACTTGAAATAGGCCACATCAATACATTAAAACACTAATTTACGCCATTTTTTTACCTTATTAATCCAGAATATCATTGCATCTTCCAGATCATAGGGTAAGTCCTTTGAGGCACTGAATGTAGAAAAACATTTGACACTTGCAACCACTTTCTCAATGCTAATCATCTCCACCGTGTAGGCCATCATGAGAGCATCAATCATTCCCATGTGAGGACTCTAAGGAACAAAGAACACGGGTTGATTCAAAGAGATTCAAATGAGCCACGAGCTAAACGCTAAAAATGAAAGGCTGGGGAGCAGCATTTAGGTGAGATGAAATGTAAGAGCCCTTTTCTGAAGCTCACCATTTTGATAGGTGCGGAGCCAAGGTCCAATTCAGACACCGGTGAATCGTCACTCTCCATGGCGTAAATCCCTTTCCGAGACAGAGCCTGGATGACCGACTGGTGTCCCTGCAGAGCAGCCACCTGATCCCCTTTCAAAATGAGGCTGCAGACGCGGCAGTAGAGTTCGCTGGACAGTAACAGCTTGATGACAGGTGGCTTAATATGTTCTTGCTCATACTGGTCTATATAAAATGGGTCCTTCAGCTCCTCTGGGATATTATCTGAAACAAAAGAGCCATGAAGTCAAAACGAGAGATTTTTTTGCCACACAGAAATGAGGCAAACACATACTTACTGACAACTTAGGCCCAGAAAACAAAACAAACTTTGGAAAACAAAGAGGAAGCAACTTATTGGGGAAACAGTATATAACCATTCCTTCTTTCACTGTTGTTTTGGCGCAATAGGTTAAACCAGGGGTCCTCAAACTTTTTAAACAGAGGGCCAGGTCACAGTCCCTCAAACTGTTGGAGGGCCAGATTATAATTTTTAAAAAATGTGAATGAATGCACACTGCACATATCTCGTGCAAAAAACGCGTGCAAAAAACACATGAAAACAATACAATAATTAAAATGAAGAACAAAGGAAGGAGAGAAGGAAAGAAAAGTAAAAGGAAGGAAGGAAGGGAAAGAGGGAGGGAAGGTTGACCACAGCAACGCGTGGTGGGTACAACTAGTAATACAATATAATACTACTAATAGTACAATATTATAATTATATATATTACATGCAATATTACTAATAATATTACAATATAATGGTATAGTACAACATAGTAATATATAATACTGAGATTGTACTATGCTAATAATATAATATATTGTATGTATGTATGTATGTATATATATATATATATATATATATATATATATATATATATATCTAGTAAGCTGCTCTGAGTCCTCTTCGGGGTGAGAAAGAAGGCATATAAATGTTGTAAATAAATAAATAAATAAAATAATTGAAATGAAGAACAATTGTAACAAATATAAACTTATTAGTATTTCAATGGGAAGTGTGGGCCTGATTTTGGCTGATGAAATAGGATGGTTGTTGTTGTTGTGTGCTTTCAAATCGTTTCAGACTTAGGTTGACCCTGAGCGAGGGCCGGGTAAATGACCTTAGAGGGCCATATCCAGCCCCCGGGCCTTAGTTTGAGGACCCGTGGGTTAAACACTTGTGCCAGCAGGACTGCTGACAGAAAAGTCAGCAGTTTGACTTCGCGAGAAAGGGTGAGCTCCTGTCTGTCAGCTCCTGCTTCTCATGTGGGGACATGAGAGAAACCTCCCACAGGATGGTAAAACATCTCTCTCACACCAGAAATGGCTTGCAGTTCCACACACACACACACACACACACACACACACACAAACCCTGTTGTGTTTTAATGCTCAAAGTACAAATATATGTTCTGTCATAACACAAGTGTAATCCAGCAGTCTGGAAAGAGTAGAATTGAGTGTTTCATATACACACTTGCTTAAGTATTCTGTACACTGTATAATAGTTGTTAGAAGCAGGTCAGAAAAGGAAAATGCTAGCCTAAATAGATTTACAGAAGAACAAATATTTTGTGCTAAATGTTAAAACTGCTTTCAGCCACCTAAACCCACCCACATTATAGTCGAAGTTATCATCTGTATCTACAAACAACTACACCACACACCGTGCCTTCCAGTCACTGGAAATATATTCCTATTTGCAATTACTATACTATCCAGAAGATAATTTTTGGTCATATGATTGCTTGAAATTTGCAAATTTGGCAACGGCACATACAACTCACTCAGCAACCATTTTTAATTCAAATGACACATGCTTAAATGTATGCTGGACATGCATTATCATGAGGAACTTAAAAGACATAGGTTAGATCTATTAATTATTTTCATGATACAGAAAAAAATGCAACATAAATTGTATATTCCATAGAGGCCACAGAAAGGTGATTGTTTCTTTTGGCTCACTGAACAAAGCACTGTCTCACTGTACTACAGTGCATTCATGCCACATCAGACTCAAGTTTTTTAAACAAATCAAAATGGGGCACTGTTACATTACATACAAAAGGCATCAGGACATGCCACAGACTTTATCACCCTGAGGGACTGTCAGCAATGTGCTGCTTAAACTGTCCAACCAGCTTACCTTCCCTCCCTGACATCACCATCTCTGTGCTGCATTTCCACATTTCTTGCATAAGCATAATGTGTAGCAGCATTTAAATGAGAGCTATGTTGGTTAGCATAGTATCATTTGAACCAATTTAAATATTCTGCACAAAAAAGAATTCTAACATAGCCCATGAACTAAGTACTGCTGCATTGCAATCCCAATATGATTCCATGATTTTGAAGCCAAGTATAGAAATATCTAGAACTTGTCATCACAAGTCACTGTTTAAATTCAGTCCCCATGGCTATAACAAACACAAACACAGGCCACACAATTACTTTGTTCTTCACTAGGTAGCATTACGATTGTGGGCATATTATAAAAAAACAGCACACTATTTTAATAACTATCCCAAGAGAAAGTACAACGGTGATACAAAGTCTATTTTCTTCAAGGTCCAGCTATACATCTTTAAAACTGCAATTATATATTGTTATGCGGAGAGATGTGCTTGCTGCTCCATAAATTCCCAAATACTTCCATGAACAGGAAAGTGAATACTAAAAGAACTTGATCCACTGCAACTCTCAATTCACAATATTTATAAATAAAAAATAGAAGTAAAACCTCAACTGAAAACAAATTAAAGTCATGTGAAGGCAGGAATACAATGTATTACTTCGCACCACCACAAAGCAAGCAAATGTTAATCCATTAAGCACATTAGAGTTTGGCAAATTAGAGTTAGATTAAGAGGACTATCTAATTTCCACAACATGAATGCATGTTGTATTTTGTTCCACTTAAAAGTACTGAGATAATAAGTAGCCAAAAATACTTACTTTAAAAACTAAACATTCAAAACAGACAAGAAGGATGTATTGCAGTGCAAGAAGAATGTATTGACAAAGAAAAAGTTCCAATTAAAAACTCCAATTTAAAAAACTCCAGGTTTTTAAAAGTATTTTTACAACTTCCATCTAGTGATGATGATGATGATGATAATGTTGCAAGAAAATCGTGCTGATGGACTACAAGCAGAGGCATAACACCGTTGCTCAGATGATTCATTCGAACCTGTGCCACAAATACCATCTGCCTGCGACAAAGAACTGGTGGGATCACAAGCCCGAAAAAGTCACAGAAGATGAACATGTCAAACTACTCTGGGACTTCCAAATTCAGACAGAGTTTTGGAGCACAAGACTCCTGACTTCACCATCGTGGGGGGGAAAAAACAAGTATGGATCATCGATGTTGCAATCCCAGGCAACAACTGGATTGACAAGAATCAACTGGAAAAGCTTACATGAGACGAGGATTTAAAAATCAAACTGCAAAGACTCTGGCACAAGCCAGTAAAGGTGGTCCCAGTGGTGATCGGCACACAGGGTGCAGTGCCTAAAGACCTTGGCCTGAACTTAAAAACAATCAGCGAAGACAAAATTACCATCTGTCAGCTATTAAGGCCAGGATTGAAAAATCAACGGATGACCCAAAATGCAGACTGTGCAAGGAAGTTGATGAAACCATGGACCATCTCCTCAGCTGTTGCAAGAAAATCGCACAGACAGACTACAAACAGAGGCACAACTCTGTGGCCCAGATGATTCACTGGAACTTATGTCACAAGTACCACCTGCCAGCAGTAAAGAATTGATGGGATCATAAACCTGCAAAGGTCACGGAAAATGAACATGCAAAAATACTGTGGGACTTTCGAATCCAGACTGACAAAGTTTTGGAACACAATACACCAGACATCACGATTGTGGAAAAGAAAAAAGTCTAGATTATTGATGTCGCCATACCAGGTGACAGTCGCATTGAGGAAAAACAACAGGAAAAACTCAGCCGCTATCAAGACCTCAAAATCGAACTGCAAAGGCTCTGGCATAAACCAGTACAGGTGGTCCCAGTGGTCATTGGCACACTGGGTGCTGTGCCAAAAGATCTCAGCTGTCATTTGGAAACAATAAACATCGACAAAATCACGATCTGTCAACGGCAAAAGACCACCTTACTTGGATCTGTGCGTCTCATTTGAAAATACATCACACAGTCCTAGACGCTTGGAAAGTGTTCGACTTGTGATTTTATGATACGAAATCCAGCAAAGAGATCTCGTCAGTAAAATAATAATAATAATAATAATAATAATAATAATAATAATTTATATCCTGCTTTTCTTCCTCACAGGACCCAAAGCAGCTTGCAACATATTAAAATCATGTAAACAACAATCCAAATACATCAATAATAAGTATAAGACATAAAATAACAATTTAAAACAACAATAATATTCATTCACATTCTTGATACACATATACAGCATTACACAAAATAGATGGATGCTTCACTAAGTTCTAGAATGAAGATGCAGTGAAGCAGGAAAAAAAACCCAAATGATTAAAATGTCTGTGGCCTGCTATACAAAAACCATACAAAAATCCCTAATAAATTCTGAGCCATCAGAAAGTAGGTAAGGATGCATGTGGTTGTCAAAAATGACTCACACTGCAAGGGCCTAAGAAGCCTGTAAGATTCAGTGTAGATCTATAGTGTGCAAAACAGCACTAATTTAGCAGAACCAAACCAGGGACATGGCAGGATTTCAAGCACTTCCAACTGTAAGCCATTTACAATAAGGGGCGGGGACAGGGGTTGTGGGCAATACATCTGCAAGCTTCCTGGTTGGCATTTACTCTTGTATTTGAAAACATAGGAACAGGCCGGTCAGCAAATCAGTTTGACACAATTGATATTTAAAACACAGATCATCTCCAATCCACTTAACATCTGAAAGGACAAGGCAAAAAGAAAAACGCAAAGGGAAAGAAAAATAAAAGCATCCTCACCCAATGGAGGATTCTTACCTCTTCCATAGGCTTTTGCACAGATCCACTGTAGATTAGCTGCTATTTTTGCTCGGGCTGAATCATAGAGCTCCAATGGAACGATCTCAGCTGCACTATCTGTGAGAGCATCCATTTTTCTTCTTGTGCTATCCCCACCAGCACAAACATCAGCATCCACCATCTGAAGGAAAAAGAAAAGAAAACCGGCCTAGCACTCCAAAACTACAATTTACAAGATATATCACAGTTTCACGAATACAACACTGAGTATAGATCCCTCGGCTATTGAAACGACTGAGTTTTTTTTTCTGATGGGGTTTGATCTCGAAACCAATCTCAATGTGAAGAAGTCAGACTATGCAATGCTTTGTTTATATATATTAATTAAAAGGAACAGACTACATGCATGATTACTCAACCTTCTAGACAGGCCGCACACGCATCTCCCCCCCTTGAGTTACCAGCATGACGATATAAACAGGTACCAAGCAGTTTACTGAAGGGGAAAATTCTCCTATTATCTGATTTCTCTGACAATGGAATGGGGATAGGTAGTAAGGGTGGCACAGCAGGGGAAGGCGGCAACAGAAGGCAGCAGGCCTAAGGCTCCCTTGCTCTTGCGATACCCTTCACCCTACCCCTAAGAGGGATCAGCAGCTGGCTGAGACGAAGAAAAGCACCAGACACCCCGAGGGAAGGGGATGAAGTGAGAGGGCAGGACGGGAATCCTTCTCGCATGTCCCTTTCACGCTCCGGTGGAAGACGCCAGGAACCGGGTGGCAAAAAGGAAGGTGCCGTGACATACCTTTCCTGCAGGAGTCTCGCTCCCCAACAAAGACAACAAAGGGCATCTTTCCAGCACTGTCTTCCTCATCTATCTCACTCTCCTTCCTGCTGTCTCACTCTTCTGCTTTCCAAAATACACCATTGCCTCCATAATGACAACAGCCATATTATTATGGCTGTTGTCATTATTATCTTCAAAATTATTTAATCTCTACCAAATAGATTTCCGCCTCCCACTTTAAACTCCATATAACTAACCTACCAACTCTGCTTAGAATCTGATCCCACATCCCCAACAACAACAACAACAACAATAATAATAATAATAATAATGGTTTATTTATAGACCACCCTCTCTCCCCAAGGGGACTCAGGGCAGTTTACACACAAAAAAAGGCAAAAACCCCATTTAACTAACCTACCAACTTGGCTTAGAATCTGATCCCACATCCCCAATAACAACAACAATAATGGTTTATTTATAGACCACCCTCTCCCCAAGGGGACTCAGGGCAGTTTAAACACAAAAAAGGCAAAAACCCCATATAACTAACCTACCAACTCTGCTTAGAATCTTATCCCACATCCCCAACAACAACAATAACAGTAATGGTTTATTTATAGACTGCCCTCTGTCCCCAAGGGGACTCAGGCCGGTTTACACACAAAAAAGGCAAAAATTCAATGCCCAAACTCAAATACAAACTTTTCAAAATAAACAGAATAGTACAAAAAAATAAACCTAAATTTATTTTATTATTTATGTATTATTTATATGCCACCCTTCTCACCCAAAGGGGACTCAGAGCGGCTTACAAGTTATATGTACACACAGTGCATTATATTATTAGCATAGCACAATATTAGCATTCTATATTACTATATTGTACTATACCACTATACTGCAATATTATTAGTAACATTAAATGCAACATTAAATATATAATTGTTGTATTATTATATTGTACTAGCTGTCCCCTGCCACACATTGCTGTAGCCCAGGTTTTGTGTGTGTATATATGTATATGTATATGTGTGTGTATATATTTGTGTATATGTGATTTTGCACATGCGTTGTAATGTTTCTTTATCTTTTGGCTTTTAAAGTCTCTTCTGCTGTGTTTTTCAGTGTTTTTATGAGTGATGGTCACTCGCTGTCCTGATAGGTGTATTGTGTCCAAATTTGGTGTCAACTCGCCCAGTGGTTTTTGAGTTATGTTAGTCCCACAAACGAACATTATATTTTTATTTATATAGATTATCATTATTACATTGTATTACAATATTATGATCAATATTAAATGTACATATAATATATTATAATTATTAAAATAGCACAATATTAGTATTATATTTTACTATACTGTACTATACCACTATACTGAAATATTATGAGTAATATTACATGTAATATATAATATACAATTATTATATTGTAATATTATCAGCATTATATTCTATTACATTATAATATTTTATCAATATTATATGTATATACAAGATATTACTTTATTAGCACAGCACAATATTAGTATTATATATTACTATATTGTTGCTGGGGGGGAGGGGGCTCCCAACTGATGACCCAGGAGACACAGTGGAACTATCTTCCTGGCTCCCCTTCTTGTGACAAAAGAGAAATTAACACCAAAATGAGGACCAAATATGAATAATCAAATAAACCTAATTATATTAATAACATAAATTAACCATTTAAACATAAAGCCTAGAAAATGCAATTAAAATACATTAAAATGACTATCAAGGTTGCTCTTGATCACTGTCTGTTCCAAACTATCACTATCCATTCCAAACACACCCCTTTCCTATTTGTTGTGAGCCCTCATTCACACCAAAACAAAAAATCAAGCTTGATCCTTGACACAACTCTTCTATTATACATCCCCCACTCCAGTCTCTGTCCTTCAGCACTCTTCAAACCATATGATTCAATGATCCATAAAAATAGACTACACATAATGCAATATGACAAGAACAATGACTAAGATGCTAATATTACTGTTTCAACCCCCTACTTCTGGATTTGAAAAAAAAGCAGCACCACAGTCTCAACCTTTTGACCAGTTCCCTCCCTATTGTCCCAGCCACCGTACTTGATCTCCCCATTGAGATTTCAGCCCTTGCTCAGGTCTCTCCCCTTTACAGTCCATCTACTACTCTTTTTGGCCCAGTGCACACCGAATAATCTTACTCTGTATGCACACACAAACCTGGCCTACCCACATCACTGCCTCTACCCATCCGTTGCCCACAATTCCCTATAGTCTTGCACCTGGACTTGTAGCCCTCCAGCATCTTAATCCCATTAATGCCCCATGTCTGATAAGGCAACACAAACAATATATAAAGCCGCCTTCCACCTGGAAACTGATGCCCTCACTGTGGAAGAACATGTGGGTCAAGAATAGGACTCCACAGTCACCTACGTATCCACCGCCAAGACACTACACTTGGAAGGCCATCATATTCAAGACAATGAGGGATTGCCTAAGTAAGTAAGTAAGTGTGTGTGTGTGTGTGTACAGACACACACATATAGATAGAGAGAGGGGAGGTGTGTGTGTGTGTGTGTATACATACATACATACATACATACATACATATATATGAAAGAGAGATGTTCTTGGCCCACTCATCTCCATTGAAAACACCCATCAGTCTCAATAACTAATCACACTCTATATACATATACATACACATAGACATATAGATAACATAATATATAGAGAGAGATGTTCTTGGTCCCCCCATCCCTACTGAGATGCCCATCAGTCCTACACACAAAACTATCTATCTATCTGTCTACAGAGAGAGAGAGAGAGAGAAATACAGATATAGAGAGAGATGTTCTTGGCCCACCCACCCCTACTGAAATGCTCATCAGTCCCTCACAAATAATAATTCACCACACTATCTATCTATCGATTTACACACACACACACATATATATACAGATATATAGATATAGTTATAGATGTTCTTGGCTCACCCACTCCTACTGAAACACCCCAAAATACCCATCAGTCCCTCGTAAACAATAACTAACCACACAATATATACATATAGCGTGTGTGTGGTATATATATATATATATATATACACACACACACACACACACATATATACAGATATAGATATATAGTTATATCGGGAGAAATGTTCTTGGCCCACCCATCGCTATTGAGATGCCCATCAGTCCCTGACACACAATAACTCACCACACTCTCTATATATCTATAGACAAATAGATACATAGAGAGATATTCTTGGCCCACCCATCCCCGTTGAAACATCCCTCAAAATACCCATCAGTCCTTTATACACAATAACTAACCACACAATAGTTTATGTGTGTGTATACACAGTCACATAGAGATAGATAGAAAGATAGATAAGATATAGAGATGTTCTTAGCCCACTCATCCCCACTGCAACACCCTCCAAAATACCCATCAGTCCCTCATACACACTCACATCCATACATATATACACACAGATATATTGGTAGAGTATCTATATATAGAGATATATAGACACACAATAACTCAGATACACAGATACAGTTATGTATATGTAGATATATAGGTACACAGATATATAAATAGATATCATTAACTATATATAGATAAATAAATAAATACAGACACAATAACTCACAGATACACAGATATATATACATATATATATATATATATAATTGTTATCAATATATAATATTGTTATTGATATATAAATAGATACAAATACACAATAACTCAGATATTGTTATCGATATATAGATAAATAGATATAGACACACAATAACTCAGATATTGTTATTGATATATAGATAAATATAGACACACAATAACTCAGATATTGTTATCGATATATAGATAGATATAGATACACAATAACTCAGATATTGTTATTGATATATAGATAGAAAGATATAGATACACAATAACTCAGATATTATTGATATATAGATAAATAGATATAGATACACAATAACTCAGATATTGATATATAGATACAGACACACAATAACTCAGATATTATCGATACATAAATATAGACACACAATAACTCAGATATTATTGAGTTATTGTCTTTACTAATAATATAATATAGTATATTGTATATACATATAATATTTATAATATTATAATGTAATACAATATAATACTAGTAATAATAATACAATATTATAATTATAATTATATATTTATATTACATGTAATATTACTAATAATATTACAATATAACATATAGTGCAGTATAGTAATATATACTGATATTGTACTATGCTAATAATATAATATATTGTATGAAAATATATATTGTAAGCCGCTCTGAGTCCCCTTCGGGGTGAGAAGGGTGGCATATAAATGCCTTAAATAAATAAATAAATAGATAAATAGATATAAACACACAATAACTCAGATATTATTGATATATAGATAAATATAGATACAGAATAACTCAGATATTTTTATTGATATATAGATAAATATAGATACAGAATAACTCAGATATTGTTATTGATATATAGATAAATAGATATGGATACACAATAACTCAGATATTGATATATAGATAAATAGATATAGACAATGACATACAATAACTCAGATATTGTTATCGATAGATATAGACACACAATAACTCAGATATTGTTATTGACATATAGATAAATATAGACACACAATAACTCAGATATTGTTATCGATATATAGATAGATATAAACCCACAATAACTCAGATATTATTGATATATAGATAAATATAGATACAGAATAACTCAGATATTGTTAGCGACATATAGATAAATAGATATAGATACACAATAACTCAAGATATTGATATACAGATAAATAGATATAGACATACAATAACTCAGATATTGTTATCGATATATAAATATAGACACACAATAACTCAGATATTGTTATTGATATATAAATAGATATAGATACACAGTAACTCAGATATTATCGATATATATATATATAGATAGATAGATAGATAGATAGATAGATAGATATAGCCACACAATAACTCAGGACACTATACACACACATATGTGTGTGTATATATATATATATACACACACACACAGATATATATACAGATATATATATAGAGAGAGAGAGAGAGAGAGAGACGTTCTTGGCCCACCCACTCCTATAGAGACGCCCATCAGTCACAATAACTCAGCACACAATGACCACAACCACACCACTCTTCCCTTCTCTCTTACCTTTCAAAATAATACTAATAAGGCCATCACGTGACCCTCCCCAACCCCAACCGGTTTCCCTCCTCAACTGTCAGAACCAGCCCCCTCCTTGCCTTCCCTTTCCTGCTGCCATTTGGAAGCCTCGCGGCCCAACCTGCCGCACTGGAGCCTCCCTTCTCCTCCATAATAATAATACTACCAAGGAAAGCGGGGCAAAACCACCAGGCCCCGCTCTTTCCTACCTCATCGCCGCCTGGACCGCGCCCCGGCTCGAGGAAGGCGGGGGGGGAGAAGGAGGTCCGCGGAGGGGCGAAGAAGGCAAGGCAAGCAGACCGGCCTCCGAGCCTGGCTGAGGGAAAGAGGGAGGGAAGGAGGAAAGGAGGCGAAGGCGGGGGCGCGCGCATGCGCGTTCACATCCCTCCCCGCCGCTTGACGGACGGCTGAGGGAAAGACAGGGAGCGCGCGCCTCTAGAGAGGGAAAGGGGAAAAAAAAAAAAAGAAGGAAGGGGGCGGAGTCGCTTCTCTCAACATTCTAAAAGAGAAGGAGGGCCGAGCATGCGCAGTTGACTCGGACTGGAATTCCCTTGTTTTCTGTGTGTTGCTCTTTTATTTACTGCCCTGGTTCTAGAGCAGAGGTCCTCAAACTTTCTAAACAGAGGGCCAGGTCACAGTCCATCAAACTGTTGGGAGGGCCGGATTATAATTAAAAAAAAAAACATAGGTAAAGGTAGTCCCCTGACATTAAGTCCAGTCATGTCTGACTCTAAGCCGAAGAGCCAGCGTTGTCCGTAGACACCTCCAAGGTCATGTGGCCGGCATGACTGCATGGAGCGCCCTTACCTTCCCTATTGATCTACTCACATTTGCATGTTTTCCAACTGCTAGGTTGGCAGAAGCTAGGGCTGACAGCGGAAGCTCACGCCGCTCCCCGGAATCGAACCTGCGACCTTTCGATCAACAAGCTCAGCAGCTCAGTGCTTTAACCCACTGTGCCACCGGGGGCTCCAAAAAAACCCACATAGAATAATAGAATCAAAGAGTTGGAATACACCTCATGGACCATCCAGTCCAACCCCATTCTGCCAAGAAGCAGAAATATTGCATTCAAATCACCCCTGACAGATGGCCATCCAGCCTCTGTTTAAACGCGTCCAAGGAAGGAGCCTCCACCACCACAGAGAGTTCCACTGCTGAACGGCTCTCACAGTCAGGAAGTTCTTTCTCATGTTCAGATGTAATCTCCTCTCTTGTAGTTTGAAGCCATTGTTCCATTGCATCGTAGTCTCCAGGGAAGCAGAAAACAAGCTTGCTCCCTCATATTTATACATGGCTATCATATCTCCGGAGACGACTGAACAAATGAACAACAACAACAAATCATATCTCCTCTCAGCCTTCTCTTCTTCGGGCTAAACATGCCCAGCTCCTTAAGCCGCTCCTCATAGGGCTTGTTCTCCAGACCCTTGATCATTTTAGTCACCGTCCTCTGGACACATTCCAGCTTGTCAATATCTCTCTTGAATTGTAGTGCCCAGAATGGGACACAATATTCCAGGTGTGGTATAACCAAAGCGGAATAGAGCATGGGGAGCATGACTTCCCAAGATCTAGACACTATGCTCCTATTGATGCAGGCCAAAATCCCATTGGCTTTTTTTGCTGCCACATCACATTGTTGGCTAATGTTTAACTTGTTGTCTACGAGGACTCCAAGATCTTTTTCACACGTACTGCTCTCGAGCCAGGCATTGTCCCCCATTCTGTTTCTTTGCATTTCATTTTTTAGTTTTGGCCCATCTCTCTAATCTGTCAAGATCATTTTGAATCCTGCTCTTGTCCTCTGGAGTGTTGGCTATCCCTCCCAATTTGGTGTCGTCTGCAAACTTGATGATCCTGCTTTCTAACCCTTCATCTAATGAATGAATTCCTATGCATACTGCAAACATCTTATTTGAAGTGCAAAAAAAAAAAACACTTAAAACAATACAATATAATATAATACAATATAATACTACTAATAATAACATTTATTTATTTATTTATTTACGGCGCTTATATGCCGCCCTTCTCACCCCGAAGGGGACTCAGAGCGGCTTACAATATATATTTTCATACAATATATTATATTATTAGCAAAGTACAATATCAGTATATATTACTATATTGCACTATACCATTATATTGTAATATTATTAGTAATATTACATGTAATTAAATATATAATTATAATTATAATATTGAATTATTATTACTAGTATTATATTGTATTATAATATTATAAATTATATATTTTATATTACACTAGCCGTCCCCTGCCATGCGTTGCTGTGGCCCAGTCTGTGTATATGTGTTTTGTGTGTGTACAGGTGCGTATTTATTTATTTATTTATTTACAGCTTTTATATTCCGCCCTTCTCACCCTGCAGGGGATTTAGGGCGGATTACAGTGTACACATATATGGCAAACATTCAATGCCAATTTTGACATACAACATATACAGATGTACACAGAGGCTACTTAACTTTTTCCGGCCGCCAGGGGAGCTGTCGCTTTCATCGTCCATCTGCGACACTGATGAAGTACTTCCGCATTCCCCGCATGCTTTTCGCCGAAGTGCCTGCTGGAGTCATTTTTTATGGCCTCATAAATTAGTTAATTTAGCCTCCCCACACTTTAAGGTGGTACTTAATTTTCCTACTTGACAGATGCAACTGTCTTTCGGGTTGCAAAAGTCGGCAACAGGATACACAATTGGTTGGAAACCCACTCCAACCCGGGTTGGCTTCGAACTCATTACCTTTTGGTCAGAGTGATCTTAATGCAGCTGACACTCAGCCAGCTGCGCCACAATCCCGGTGTATATGTGTGTATAGCCAAAACCAAGGTTACAACAACATCTGTTATAGAACTCCAGTACGCTGATAACAATGTCATCTGTACGCATTCAGAAGAAGATCTACAAGCCACTCTAAACACCTTTGCAGAAGCATACGAGAAGCTCGGCCTGTCATTAAACATTGAGAGAACCAAAGTGCTCTTCCAGCAGTCACCGGCCAATCCCTCTCCAGTGCTGGAAATACAGCTTAATGGTGTAACATTAGAAAATGTTGACAATTTCCGCTACCTTGGCAGCCACCTCTCCACAAATGTCAACATTGACACCGAAATACAACACCGCCTGAGCTCTGCGAGTGCAGCATTTTTCCGAATGAAGCAGAGAGTGTTTGAGGACCGGGACATCCGTAGGGAGACCAAGGAGCTTGTTTATAAAGCCACTGTCCTCCCAACTCTGCTATACACCTGCGAAACATGGACTGTCTACAGACGTCGCATGCAACTCCTGGAACGATTCCATCAGCGCTGCCTCCGGAAAATCCTGCAATTTCCTTGAGAAGACAAGCAGACAAATGTCAGTGTGCTGGAAGAAGCAAAGACCACCAGCATTGAAGCCATGGTCCTCCAACATCAACTCCGCTGGACCGGCCACATTGTCCGGATGCCCAACCACCGTCTCTCAAAGCAGTTGCTCTACTCCGAACTCAAGAACCCAAAACAGAACATTGGTGGGCAGGAAAAGAGATTTAAAGATGGGCTCAAAGACAACCTTAAAAATTCTGGCATAGACTCTGAGAACTGGGAAGCCCTGGCTCTTGAGCGCTCCAGCTGGAGGTCAGCTGTGACCAGCAGTGCTGCAGAATTCGAAGAGGCACGAATGGAGGGTGAAAAGGAGAAACATGCCAAGAGGAAGGCACATCAAGCCAACCCCGACCAGGACCACCTTCCACCTGGAAACCTGCAGGAGAAGATGCAGATCAAGAATAGGTATCCCACCGCCAGTATACGTATCCCACCGCCAGTCATGGAAGAGACAATCCTACTCGGACAACGAGAGATCGCCTAAGTAAGTACGGCAGCTCGAAAAGCCAATGCATAAATAATATAGATGGTGGCAAAAGTTAAAAATAAAGTGTATTATTTGTATTATTATTATTATTATTATTATTATTATTATTATTATTATTATTATTATAGTGTCTAGGTCCAGAGAAGTCATGCTCCTGCCCTGGATTCACACTGTGTCCCTATTCTGGGCCTCACAATTGAAGGGAGATGTTTGACAATCTTGCAATGTGGCCCAGGAGGTCTCTTCCAACTCTATGATGCTATGAAAGAGCCATGCGCGTCCACGCCAGAGAAAGAGAGAGAGGGGGGGACGTGCACGCGCGCCTAGAATCCAAAACGTTCTAAAAGGCTGCTTTCTAGTTTCGTCGGCGCATGCGCGAGAAAGGGAGGCAAGGACGGGGAAGGTGGGCGGGGCGAACGGCGCGCGCTCTCTCTGCTTGGCAACCGGTCTCCTAGGCGATGATGAGATGGAAACTTGGGAAAGGTTGGTTTGGAAGGAGGCGGGGCAACAGGGAGGGAGGAAGGAGAAAGGGGGCGTGGCTTCTGCATGAGGCACCCAACTGACCTATGGAACCCTGGCAGTTTAAAGTGGTGTGAAACTGCGTTAATTCCCCAGTGTGGACAAATCTTAATGTTTCCTATCTGAGCAGGGATTCGAATAGTTTACTTCCTAGTGAATAGGATTAGTATAATGACAGCCATCAATGACAAGCTAAATCCAGTTGGCCATGAATGAGGCAGAAAAGTACACAATGGGTTGCTTTTCAAAGCCCCATTGTCATCTAATGCAGTTTGAAACTGCACAAGATGCTCAGTGTGGACGAACACAATGCAGTTTGCAAGATGATTCATTGGAGGGGATTCTTTTTTAAGCACACATTTTTAAATGGCGTAATCTGCTTAATCAGCTTAGGGTTTCTAATAACAGGCGCTGGATGCGCGCCTCAGACGGGCAATTCCAGGCAGTGTGAAAAGGGCACAGAGCATGGGTGGCTTAAATCACCGCAATATCACAAAAAGCATATTTACGTATAGATACACGCATTGCACCTAGGTGTAAGATTGCGTATATTTACATATAGATGCATGCATACACACAAGTATAAGGTTGCGTATATTTACATATAGATACACACATACACACAAAAATAAGGTTGCGTATATTTATATATAGATGCATACATACACACAAGTATAAGGTTGCATATATTTACATATAGATGCACACATACACACAAGTATAAGGTTGCATATATTTACATATAGATGCATGCATACACACAAATATAAGGTTGCGTATATTTACATATAAATACACACATACACACAATAATAAGGTTGCGTATATTTACATATAGATACACACATACACACAAGAGTAAGGTTGTGTATATTTACATATATTTACATATATATTTACAAATATACACATACACACAAGCGTAAGCTTTTGTATAATTACATATAGATACACACAATTATAAAGTTTTGTATATTTACATATAGATGCACACATGCACACACAAGTATAA